AACCTTTCATTTCCTTTCTTCTGTCTCCATGAACTCTTATTTACATTTGCCTGCTAGTTAGCAGAAGGAACCCAATGGCAATTGCGCATGCTGCAATGATTCATGTGATTGTATGTACTCATATCTTCTAATACTTTGCATTTCACTGTTGTGAAGCACAGAAAAATGTGATATAAGTATAGGAATATTAAAAAGAAAAATGTAACCCAGAACCTGCTGCCATATGAAAATTTGTATTACACTATTACCAAATAAAAACCATGTTAAAAAGCAGAAAAGTGCAATATATACTAGTGAGTGATGCTCATCATAGAATCATTTCTCAGAAACAGAAATGAGACCACAGATAACTGTGATGTTGTCTGCTATGACTGAGCATATGAGCCAGTCATTTGCACCAGAGATGGAAGAAAATTATTAGATCACAGTTCACACCCTGCTGATTTAGTAAACCACCTTCCGCTGAAGAACCTCACAGATATTAAAATGACACATCATCTGAGATCCATCCCTAAAAGCTACCAATTACACAAAGCACAGCCTGAACTGAACCTAGGGTAGCTATTGGAAATGTCACTGGAAATGCTTCACAGGAAAAAGACAGATGTAATTCTGCTTACAGCAGTTCTAGTACAGCATTATTACTTACAAACTTGTACGAAAGTAATCCTGAAATATCACATTGTTCTTAAGTTCTGCTTAGAACAAATTATATATAAAGACAGGCCATTGCATGTCCTAAGAACAGTTCCTCAGAAAAAAATATTACAAATCAGGACATTCAGCTGTCACACCATTCAACTTGGACAAAGATGAAATAAAGAATTTGCCTCCCAGGCATGGCAATTAAATCTGATTTTTACTTTTAAATATAATAGAAAAGTTGGCCTTTAAGGACAAAGTTTATACACACTGCTTATTTTGAAATTTCTCAGCTATATGACCAAGCCAATTTCTCACTAGGTCACCAAATCCAACAACCATAAACGTTCAACAGAAACATAAGTCTCTCTGAATTTTTTCCAGTATGTTTTAAGGGAAGGATAAAAGAGCAGGCACAAGATGAGAAGAGGCTAGGCTGACCTCAGGAGATACCGAGATTGCTCTCTCCCAGATTTTCTCCTATTGTATCCAAAACTTGTTTATTTTTCAGACTTTAACCACATAAAAAAGGAGAGGTGGACTTCTATGACTTGCCAGTCCTGTCATTCCAGTTATGCGAGTTAACAGCCAAATGAGCCTTTACTTTTTTTTTTTTTAGCAAGTTGCAATTGTTAATACAATTTAAGATGTGAAATTGCAAAACATCCAGGCCACACAATTAAAAAGCTCGTAAATTCTCTCAAGCCAATGGTGGCCTTATATACTTCAATACTGAGTATTTAGAAATGTAACTAGCATGAGACACAGGATAAGAAGGCAGCATTGGAAAAGAAAAATATGCTTGTGAACTCTCAGAAAGAACAGAACCTCCCTGTAAGTACTATAACAAATACGACTAGCAGACACGGAAAAGTAATTACGGAGAAAAGCTCACACAAAGGTAGTTTTAAAACTCAGGTGTTTACTGCTTTTCTTTGCACTTCATAGACATTCAGACACCAAGATGACACCAGGATCACCTTAAACATAGCCATGACACACCCTTCTGGCGTTCATTGACCACTGCACCCAATGAGGCTATCATCAACCTCATTACACTGGGCTTTTCAGTCAGAGCTGGTGACTGTCCTCAGATGTACACCCTGCCTACATAATGTGAAAAGAAGTTGAAGGGAAGCAAAAGAAATCATAAGACTTATCCCAGACAGGAAAAACTATTTTCATATCCTAGGTCTGAAGTTGTCTGGGGCCTGTTGTCACTGCAGTCCCACAATAAATGCATAATTAAGCCTATTTTTTCCTAAAGCATGTATTTGCCATCATCCCAGGTCCTAAGGGATGGGTCCTCAGAGTGGATTTTCAGTGGTGTCTTTGCCCAGAGAAAGCCCCGTATTGATAGTACACTTAATATGATCCCTGGTCCAAGTAGTTTATTTATTCTTTTACTGTTGTTCTTATCTTTACTGCACAGTAACACCATTTAAGCAAGGAATAGAAATCAAACTATTTGTATACAAAAGCTGACCCTGAAGAGGCAATTACAATGCCTTTTGGGCTGGGTTTGGGACAGGGATGCCTCATTTTTAAGCCGCTGCCGAGTTTCAGACATGAGGTGGAAAGTGCATGGGGCTCAGCCCTTGCACAGCGCAGCAACTGATATGCTTGGAAAAGAGGGTCTAGGTACATCAGTAATTTTAACTGCACACAGTCACAGTGGTACCCAGGCTCGCAGCCACCTCTGGAGATGATGGCCCAGGACACTATGTGTCGCAAAGCAGGGCCAGCTACAGCTGCTTCTCAGCAAAGATTGCAGCCTCTGTAGCAATCAGTTCCAGTGCTTCATCACCCACTCAGTCAAAGTTTCTATTCTGTTTGTGTGCAATTGCCTGTATTTCGAAGTGTGCCCTAAGCCTCTTGCCCTGGCTATTGGGCACCACTGAGAGTAACCTGTCTCCATCTTCTTTACTCCCGTCAGGTAGTTACAACATGGATAAGATGCCCCTGAGTAGGTAAAAATACTGCACTGGCCCCCACCAAGCTGAAATGAGTTTACACTCAGCAGCTCAGACAGGCTTTAAGAGGACAGACTTTGGAGACAGGCCAGTAACTTCAGTCACCAGCCATGTGGTGTCTGCCCTAGTATGACCAATTTGTCTCTGGCTGAAAAGCTGGATACACTCCATAAACTTCAGAGGTCTGTTGGTGTTTGAAATTAAATCATTTATAGTAAAAGGTACTGGAGCACCTCCCACATGAAGACAGGCTGAGAAAGTTGGGGCTGTTCAGCCTGGAGAAGAGAAGGCTGCGTGGAGACCTCATAGCAGCCTTCCAGTATCTGAAGGGGCCTATGAGGATGCTGGGGAGGAACTCTTCATTAGGGACTGTGGTGACAGGACAAGGGGTAACGGGTTAAAACTTAAACAGATATTAGGAAGAAATTCTTCCCTGTGAGGGTGGTGAGGCATTAGCACAAATTTCCCAGAGAAGCTGTGGCTTCCCTATCAATGGCAGTGTTCAAAGTCAGGCTGGACAGAGCTTTGAACAACCCGGTCTAGTGGAAGGTGTCTCTGATTGTAGCAGGGGTTGGAACTGGATGATCTGAAGTTCCTTTCCAACCCAAACCATCCTATGAGTCTATGATTCACACAGTATACATTACAGAATTACCTGATGAAAGAACAAAAGAGATCCAAGATAGTATTGTCTTGTCAGATGTAAAAATTTATTTATGCTATTTATCAAGTGTTCAAATTTACACAAAAGACAACACTTCAGGTCCAACTGCTCACCAGTAAACCCTACCCCAGAATACCCTTGACACTTCCAAGTACAATTTTTACAAGATGGCTTAGAACAGCAGAATCTCATAGATAACGGCAAACTTCACAAGCCTGAAGGTCACTACCTCATCGGTATTTCTCTGCTGAACATGACCCACAGAACAGTGGAAGTCTTAAAACCATTTTAATCCCCAAACACTATCACTACTGCACTCAGAACATTTAAATCACATTGACCTGCATTAGTAACATCAAACATTATAGCTAGTCTTTAAAGACTTACCACATTTCCCCTAACAAAACACCCTTTTTTTTCATTTAAACATTATAAAAGACCTGTGCATCGAAACAACTGCATAATACACAATCATCCATTTGGCTTGGTTTTACAATAAAAATTACATCAGCCATCTACTTGTTCATCTCTTATGTTGTGTTTCCCATCCCTCCCTTCTCACTTGGCAGTTTAATTGTAGCACTGAGGTAGCATATTTCAATTGAACAGAATAATAGGTTTGCTACTGTGCCTCCTCTCCTTTAAAGCACACACACACAAAGAGAAAAAAAATCCCCACAGCTTTTCAATTTCTTTGGAGAAGACGGGTGTATTTCCAGCAGCCATTCCATTCTGAACTCAAAGCACAAAGCATCTCTGAATGGTAGGTACATTATAACAGCTAGAATGAATGAGAACATATACAAGCAGGAACTATGTCAGTTTTATTAGAACTATGGTTACATTTTAGCTCAGTGGCACCTAGTGTCTCCTATTGTGAAATGCATCTTTACTGTCTCTGAAATATAATTTCAAAGATAGGACCCTTAAAAACAGCAGCTGTGCCTCAGTTTTCAGTGAAATGATTTTCACACTCTCTGTAGAAGGGTCAAATAATTGCAATAAATCTGAAGGAAATGAAATGGACCTAATGTAAAAAGTGAACAGGAACTAGCAACATTAGTATATTAGAAGAACTGAAGTTAAGGCAAAGCATATAAGATGCCTGAATGAACTGAAAGCACTTCTCATTCACTTATAAGGTAAAGCTGCGATAGCCTTTTGGGGGGGGGGGGGGGTGGTGGGGGGGGGGGTGGAGGTGAGGGAGGAAATATGACTGCAACAGTAGAAACCTAGTTTCGTAACAAATTGCCAACAACAGTATCTCAGCTTTGTCCTCCTGGCTAGAAGCTTTAACAGTGTGAGCTGCAGTCAAGCTGCACCCAAGACTGCAGCCTTAACACCCGTACTGTTTCGTGAAGTGACTCTCACAGGCACCTGTATATTTAGAGATGAACAGTAAAAAGGTGGTAATTAACAATGGTAGTAATTTTTTGCTCTGTGCGCCATGATGGTACACACAGCCATGTTAAACTTTGTTGCATGGTACATAATCCTCACTCAGCCCTGGGCAGGGTATTTGAATACCCGCTCTTCATCTTTCATACAGCAAAGCAAAAATCTTACTGCAGTTAAACCCCTCCAGTTAGCTGCATGCAGGGGGGAAATTGTTTTTAACACCTTGGAAAGCAGACCAAGAATGTAACTGAGCTGACTGCTAAACAAACCCTCAGAAAACTACCTAGAGCAGCTAATGAAAATGTATAAGTTACAACGACCAATTCAAGCTGTTTATGGAAACTTTAATGTTAATCTTTCAAGTAATCCAAGATGCACTCCAACTCCTGTTACTAAAAATTTAAGGCTTTTATAAACACCTTCTTACATATAAAAGGAGTATTAAACAGAAGAAATTGACAGTAAATACAAACATCTGAAAAATCTCTGAAACCTGTTTATACAAATACTAATAAATTCTTTAATATTTTGTACAACTAGAAGGTGCACAGATTGGCATTCAAGCAGTCAATGCTGGCAAACATCTGTCAGATAATAACATGAATTACTTGGATAACAACACAGTTTAAAATGCCATAAATTAAAAAAAATAAGTTAGTTCACATTTTTCCCCCAGCTTTTATGTACATCTTAGTCTTTAATGAGATCGTGTAGCCTTCTTTAGAAGCTCAATGTCTTTCCGCCGGCTTCTGATTGCTCTGGCACAGCCATACTCTTCCAGTTGCAAAGGGATATACTTTTCTATCTGAATGAGCCCATGCCCAGCAGGACCAGTAAACAGCTTAATCCAGGATGGCTTAAAGTTTCCTCTGAAGCCCAGAAAGGCCACGCTTCCTGTGACAAAACCAGCTCAGTGTTACTGAACCAGCCAAGACCAAAGCATACCACATGCTCCTCTGAAATCCTCCCCCCCATTCAGGACACTGATCCACTCTCAGTGTCAAGTACACCCCGCAAGGCAAGATATTTTCCAATATTCAGTATCACATACTCTGAAATCTTAACCTGGAAACATAGCTATCAGTAGTTACAAAACCTGCTTTCTCAAGTCGGGACTTGTGCCAGGGCCCTGAATGGACAAGAGCTACCCCATGTGGCCTATAAAGTCATCATCCCTCAAAATACCAACAGCTTCTCATCTCAATCTTCAAATTTTGTTAGAACAGGAAATACTAGCCTGGCACAGGAGGTTGTTTATAAATAGATTCACTGGGTGAGGCACAAATACAGGCTTTGGGAAAAAAGCCTGGAGCTTTTTTTCTGTAATCCACAGGCACAAAGAACTGCTACTCACTTCCCTGCTTGCAACAGGCTTCACAAAATGCCCTTTGTGGCAATGGAAAGGTCTTCTGCCCCACCTGCTGAAGGGCTGCCCATTCTCTTCCTCACAACCCCCCCACAACCCTCCCACCCCAAACAAGGCTCACTGGCAGACACCCTTCACCAGCTGCATCCTTTTCACACACCCTTGGAGAAACCCACCACACCAACACAAACACACAGACCAAGGCAGGTCAAAGAAATATATGAAATTTCCACCAACCATTGCTCTGAAGATAAGGTGGTTTGGCTGTCCCCAGGGACATTAAGGCTTCTGGTAAATTACGAGGAATTGTTATATCACCTCTTGTGCTCAGTAGAACAACAGACCTGCAACAGAGACAGCATAGAGACAGCACCTGTTATAAACACAAAGCTTTGTTAATATTCTGCTACATGCTTTTACAGCTCGCTCCACTTGCTTAAGAGTACTCCTGCAATGTTATTTCATGACATGGAAACAGTCAACCCTCTCTGAAAGCAGTACCTAGAATACTTTTTTTTTTAGATTGACTTTCAAATTTAACTTCAAAATCATTGGAAAGTGTTACTGAAATATAGTTCAATATTCTGTATCAAAAATTAAAGTTTAAATACTGATCCAAACTTAGAGTGCTGATTTTTCCAACATTAGCTTTTCACATTTCTTCAATGATAAGCAATGCCCCCCCCAGATAGGGAGAGAACAGCATGGTCTTTAGTAATGTACTTCTTGTCAGTGTCCTTAAGTGACCTTATTAAGCAAAGTTATTTGTTTTCAGCATAGAAGTGTTATTAATGTTATTATATCATGTTTAGCTAAAAAAAAAAACAACCTTTTTGAGATGAAAAACAGGAAACACTGGAAAAATGTAAGTGTTCAAAATTTGAGTTGCTTTATTTTCTCAAATAAGACTAAATTGTCTGTTAAAACACTTGTGTGTTTCTTCTTTCCCCTCAACTTGGATATGTTTTTCTCACTTTCAGGACTTCTGCAGAGATGTTATTATTTAAATCATAGAATCATAGAATGGTTTGGGTTGAAACGGACCTTAAAGATCATCCAGTTCCAACCCTCCTACAATGGGCAGGTACACCTTCCACTAGACCAGGTTGTTCAAAGCCCCGTCCAACCTGGCCTTGAACAGTATCAGGGATGGGGCAGCCACAACCTCTGGGCAACCTGTGCCAGTGCCTCACCACCCTCATAGTGAAGAACTTCCTAATATCTGATCTGGATCTACCCTCTGTCAGTTTAAAGCCACTCCCTGTTGTCCTATCATTACACATCCTCGTAAGAAGTCCCACCCCAGATTTCTTGTAGGCACCCTTTAGGCACTGGAAGGCTGCTCTAAGGTCTCCCTGGAGCCTTCTCTTCTGCAGGCTGAACAAACCCAGCTCTCTCAGCCTATCTCCATAGGAAAGGTGATCCAGCTTACTGACGATACTTGTGGCCTTCTCTAGACTCGCTCAAGCAGGTCCAGCACGGCAGGTGGCATCCTACCCGACTGAGAAGAGGAGAAATAACCTCCCTCAACCTCCCTAGGTCACTAAACAGCAGAGCTACAGCTTACTGGATGTACAGAAAATAAATGGTTACTACACGTACCTTTGTGGAATTCCAGATTTTAAATAATCATCTACACGCTTAATGTCTACTCCAGAAAATAATTTGTTTCCCAACACTGTTCCAGTGCAGGCATCGACTATAACAATAATTATACCGTTATCCTTGAAGGAAAACATAGTGTCATTGACCTGAATGGGAGGAGAAAAAGAAAAAACAAATTTCTCTTCCTTTCTTAAAGTTAATGAATCCAACAGCAATTCTAAGGCATTCAGTGTTAATCTTCATTTAGTTTAGAGATTGTGGTATACTAATTTCCTTACAAGTATTTGCTTCTCCCTGTGTCCTGGGTTCAGCAGTAGCAGTCATGTTTCTCCTCCTTGGTAGCTGGTGCAGTGCAGTGTTTTGACTTTCGGCTCGGGAACAGAGCTGATAGAGATGTTTTGGTTTGGCCAAGGACTTTGTGAGCCTCATGCTCTGCCAGGGAGGAGGGGAAGCCAGGAGGAAGCAGAGACAGGACACCTGACCCAAACTGACCAAAGAGCTATTCCATACCACAGCACGTCATGCCCAGGAGGTAACTGGGAGTTAGCCGGAAGGGCTGGGAGACTGCAGGGTTGGAGGAGGTATCGGTCGGAGCTTGGTCGGGCTTGGGGGGCGAGTTATCGGTCAGCGGGTGGTGAGGTGTTGTATTCTGTTCCCTTGTTATTTCCTTTATCATTATTATCATTGGTGGTAGCAGTAGTGATTTGTGTTATACCTTAGTTACTAAACTGTTCTTATCTCAACCCGTGGGAGTTGCATTCTTTTCGATTCTCCTCTCCGTCCCTCCGAGAGCAGGGGGAGGGCAAGAAAGGGGGGGAAGTGAGCGAACGAATTACCTGACTGGGTTTAAACCACGACAGTTCTTTTTGGCGCCCAACGTGGGGCACGAAGGGTTGAGATAACGGCAGATCTGACTGGATTAATAGTCACTCATCACAATGCTGATTTATTGGGTATCAGAGTTGTTCTTGTTGATCTCACAGCTTCAGACCGTTGTAACTTACGTAGAGCCGGTATTTGCTGTGATAGTGTTTATCAAGTGTGGGGCCTGGGCTAAGGTTCTTGTCTCACTGTGCTTTATGGCAATGGCTTGTAACACGGGTGGGCTCCAGCAGCAGGGCGGGACGGACGTGGCCGTGGACTTGTACCTGGCCGTCCGGCTGCTCTTCACCGTCCTGGCCCTCACCCTACTCTCCATCTTCGTGAGGCTGCGGGGAACTGAGGGGGAGCGGCCCCGGGAGCCGGCGGCTGCTGAAGCGGCCCGGGAGAGCGGCCCCGGGGACCAAGCGGCGGCGGGAGCGGGGCCGGAGGCCGCCAGGGGACGGCTGCCGGTGGAGGAGGCCGGGGCGGTCGAGGAGCAGAAGGAAGCGGCTGCCGAGCAGCAGGATAAGGCGGCGGAGGAGCCGAGCCCCGCGGCAGAGCCGAGCCCCGCGACGGCCGAGAGCATTCCCCGGCAGCCACCCGCCGAGCCCCAGGAGGATGCAGGAGACCACGCAGCATTTCCCAGCAAGGCAGAGGAGGAAGAGCTGGACTCAGGAAAAGAGAAGCCGGTGGTGGGAGAGCCGGCAAGCACAGCAGCTACACCAGCCCCAGTGACAAGCACAGCAGCATCGTTTGAGAGTTCTGAAGGCTCTGAATGGCCTTTGGGTATCCTTGGGACCTGCCTGCTGATTGTGATGGGGATCAGCATGTTGGCACACACACAGGCTGTGTTCTACCCACAACCATTTTGTCTGATCTCAAAAGTTAAGCAGAGTCAGGTTTGGGTCTTGTCTGGGGTTAGACAACAGTATAGGGGGACCAAGAGATTTTCCCCAAGGCTGGAGAGTCATGAGTGGCAGGGTGTGTGGGACAGTATGGGCAAGTATCTAGTCCACTGGGCCCCTCCAGTGCTTTGGAAGCGTCGGAGATGGAAGGCAGCTGTATGGAGTCCCCAGCAACAAGCTGCAGAAACTGCTGAAGGGGACAGTGAATTATTTTAAGCCTGGTGGGCCCATGGCACTTCAGGCCATCAGAGCAGAGATGCAACACAGAGATGGACTCATGATCGAGGGGTGGACTTAACAATGGACACTATTGCCCAGGTTATTCACGAGTGTGAACACTGCACACAGTCTCTCCTGCTCTGGAAGACTGTTACAAGAGATGGAGCCTGACACGGAACAGATGGACGCAGCAGCTTTATAGGGACTGGTCCATGCACTAAGATAAGAGTGCACCGAGATAAGAGTGATGGTATATTGAAAATGTGGGATCTGAGCACGACGTGAATGGTATGGAATAAGGGGTGGATAATGTCCTGGGTTCAGCAGTAGCAGTCATGTTTCTCCTCCTTGGTAGCTGGTGCAGTGCAGTGTTTTGACTTTCGGCTCGGGAACAGAGCTGATAGAGATGTTTTGGTTTGGCCAAGGACTTTGTGAGCCTCATGCTCTGCCAGGGAGGAGGGGAAGCCAGGAGGAAGCAGAGACAGGACACCTGACCCAAACTGACCAAAGAGCTATTCCATACCACAGCACGTCATGCCCAGGAGGTAACTGGGAGTTAGCCGGAAGGGCTGGGAGACTGCAGGGTTGGAGGAGGTATCGGTCGGAGCTTGGTCGGGCTTGGGGGGCGAGTTATCGGTCAGCGGGTGGTGAGGTGTTGTATTCTGTTCCCTTGTTATTTCCTTTATCATTATTATCATTGGTGGTAGCAGTAGTGATTTGTGTTATACCTTAGTTACTAAACTGTTCTTATCTCAACCCGTGGGAGTTGCATTCTTTTCGATTCTCCTCTCCGTCCCTCCGAGAGCAGGGGGAGGGCAAGAAAGGGGGGGAAGTGAGCGAACGAATTACCTGACTGGGTTTAAACCACGACACCCTGGCATGTCTTCATTTTCCCCCTTGAGGGAAAACTTTCAGTAGGAATTCTGAAATTACACTGGAGTCTTCAGTCCCTAGCTTATACAGGGAGATCATACATTTCAGGTGACTTACTACCTCCCTCAGACATTGCTCCTGCTTTGGATATCTAAATTTCAGATACTGAACCACCTGGACTTCTTGCCAATGGCACACTTAATCTGTCTCTGCAGCAGCCTAGTTCCAACCCAGTTTCTTCCTATGCAGCATTCTTACTGCTCTGGATATGGTATACACACTCCTGTAGAAATTTGCAGCTGCTACAGTTATGCTGCCTACAGGCTATTTGTCTGTCTAAACTCAAGAGTTTTACTATTTCTACCAAGCTAAATCACTGACACTGCAAAATGAAAGCCACATACAGACTTTGAGCTTTGCGGTGCAAAGATGTCTGTAAATGTTATTTCGGCATCACATGCAAGCCTTCTGCATCTGAATAGAAGAGATGAAACTCTTCTTTTTATAAAACTACTTTCTATAGGCTTATCAGGACTGCATCACAACAAATACAGAAATACCCATGGATTCTTTAGTAACTGCCACTTTGAAGGAGTTTTAGCAAAGCTTAATTGCTTGAATGATTCATCCCATTAACTCACCAATCTGTTAGCACAAACTCAATTTCAGTAACATGGATTTAACTAACAGGTTGTTTAGATTTTTGCTTGTGTTTTGTGTTTTTAGGGGTTTGTTTGTTTGCCTTTTTTTTCTTTTTTTTTGCGTGTGTGTGTGTGTGTTTTGTTTGGGGTTTTCCCCCAAAGCAGCCATCAATAGATGTATATGCATCCAGACTGCAACATGAATCTGAAGATTTTAAACTCTCCCTTACTGCTACTATTTTCTCTCTAGCAGTAAAGGATTCAAATACAAACAGGATTCAGAGCCTCATTTTCTGAGGTTAAAACATTGGCTTTTTGACTGTTTGGATTTTAAACTATGAACCAACACTTTTCATTGAAGTGAAGGAAAGTGACATCAGCATTATGCAGAGCTGTACAACTGTTGTAATAGAAAGTGCTAAAAAGAAAGACAGATGAAAACCATAACGAATACTTACAGAAATAAATGCTTGCTGACCTCTGCTTAACTCTTTTTTACCAGATGAATTAATCTGCACAAGGAGGTAGTTTTTGTGAGGATCACTGGTGAACACCATCTGGATATCAAACGAAACATGTTAAGTACACATATCCATGTGCCTACAACACTTTATCATGCCAAACAATTCAAAACAGATTGCCCACTGCTCCAAAGCAAATGCATCAATTTGCCAGTGGTATTATTTATAGTAATAGCAATGCTAACAAGTATCATGATGCATTGTGTAACCTATTTTATTCCTTACTTTCAAAATTTTTGTCAGCTAAAACAGAAAATACAATTTCAAGTTCATGCTAATAAGCAAAGATCTGAAAAAGAATAGAGCAGGTTGCCCAACACCATATAGATCTCTGCAGCAAAGCTGTCCTACATGGCATATAGACAATGCTGTAGTACAAGACATCCACGTACACTCCTTCCCTGTAGCACTCAGAGCGAGAATTGAAGCAGCACTTTTCAAAGAACAAAAAATGAAATCTTTGTGCTACAAGAGACTCCCTGCCTTCCCAGCATACAGGAGATAAACAATATGACCATCGCAAACTGGTATGGGCAGTGTTCTGTGCCAAAACACTGAATTTCCATCTTAGAGCAATCAGACAGCAACACCAACTACAATAAAAACACAAAGTTTTTACTTATTTTATTTTACCTGAGTTGTGCCGCATTTCATACATGGTACAGTAGTTTTTACTGGCATCTGTGTTATGACAGTTGGTCGTTGGTAGTACTTTGGGTAAGCTTTTGCCATGCAGTTACTGATCCCTTTTGCTGAATCTTTGGTCACAATCTTGATCCTTTCACATCCCTGAGATGAGCAATAACTGTGACCATCCCTATTATATTTGGCTTGAAGAAATAAAAACAGTAATCTACAAAAGGGGGAAAAAAGATTCTAAGTCAACTGCTGAAAGAACACATATTTATGTTAAACCTAACAGCTATATTTCATTATTTTCAGAAGAAGAGAAATGACAGTTTTCACTTCTGCACCTTTGTTGAAGACACTTAAAACTATTTACAGTTTATTAGAGTTAGGAAGTCTCTACTGGTATATCTGCAATTCCTAACAAAGGAGACATCATTATGAATGCGTAAGCTCTGAAAAGAACAGCCATTCCTCAAACCAGTGGCTAGCAGGAAACAAAAAACAAACTGCAGAGCATATATGTTTTCTTTGATCACAAATCTCTGCAGATAGCCAGCAGTAACTCTTTGGATATTCAGCTTCACCCACCGGCACTGAACAATGTAACTGTACTGCTGCAAATGCTTGGAAATGCAGCTGAGGGCAGTGGTCATTAATGTTCACAGTACACTGAGACTGGTAATTCGTCTCTTACATATTTGATTTATTACTGTAGCTCTTAGAGAAAAGGAAACAAATGTTTTTTCAAAAGCTACATTCACCTGCACATTTACTACAAAGTAGCAGATAAAGGATCAAAATAAATAAATTATGAATGAAAAAAGAACATTCGCTAAACACGCAAGTGATGTACGTAGGACTTATTTAAGATACGGTCAGCTTTGAGTAAAACATCTCAGAAAGATCTCAGTGGCCTCTTTCAGAAGTATTTTTCAGAAAGTAGGACTTCCTAGCACTTTTGAGAAGGCTGTAAATGGATTAGGATTTTCAGAGATACATTCTTAAAATGTTCTTGGAACAGGAAACTTCTTGGAAATGTCTAGAATTTTCAGGTTAACAAGAAGGCACAATTTTTCCTTAGAGACTTTTAAGTTACTTCCTGAAAGGCACTCCTCTGCAGCATGCCAGATACACATTTTTCCCAGGCATGGGGCAGGAAATATCTGTGGCAACAATGGTACTCTTGGAAAAATGACAACCACTGTAATTTGGAGATTCAAAGTCACATATTCTTTCAAACAGGCTTTCGGTTCCTTCACAACAGCTTCACTCTTATAAGGTATCTCAATCAGTTGCTTTTAATACTATTAAACTGGTCATTTTAAGGTTAAAGAACATCTTCCAACACCATCAAGTTACAAGGAGTTACCCAGTACTGCTGTCAAAGTAAAACTTCTTGTCTGATCGATTCTTTTCAAGCTCCACCATTGAAGATACAGGCATGTAGCGCTCTACCTTGCTTGACAGAGCAGATGACCGCCTTTGGAAGGTTTCTAATACTATAACAAAATCTGTATTTGGTTGATAACAAAGACCAACACGAATCCAGTCATTCCTAAAACAACAGAAAAAAACCCCAATCAAAAAAACCCCATGATTTAACCTTAGGGACAGTTCAGATGACATGACACAGCAAACAAATCACTCAAAAAACAAGTAACAGGAACACAAAAAGCTCCTAAATGCTCAACCAGAAGATTTTTCTTTCCCTTTCTATACAGTCTGATTAAAGGTTACAGTAATTCTGATACTCTCAGAATATACTTAATTTTATACTTTAGACATTTAATAAGTTTTTCTGACAACAAAATCAAGTATGCTAAACTATTCAACTCCAATCCTGCTCAACTTCACTATTTGCACACTTTGTTCTCCAAAGGATTTTCCTAAAAGACACTGTACTGGACAAAAATTTAACTTTAGGTGCAGGTCTACTGTTTCATCCCTTGCTTTTCATACTCTAGCATTTGTAATCACAAAAAAAAAAAACAACCCAAGATCCAATCTTACTGATGGTGGCAAACTCTCACAGATGTTAATTCTGCAGAACATTACTTCAGTACTGCCTTATGGACCAATGACATTAAAGAACATAAACATACTTGTTGAAGTTAATGAGATAAAGATAGGTGACATTTGGAGCTTTTCCATTCCAATGTATTGTGTAGCCCTTTTGGAGCATCACTACTGGCTGGTACTGTTGAAAGACAGCTCTCTGATTAATACCTCGGAGAACCATGGGGCTGGCTGGGTACTCATCTCGTACAATAGTCATGGACAGATTCTGTCCATTCCATGTTTGGACATAAACCTATATGGTATTAAGAAGGATAAAAGGAAAAAGGAAAGATTAGGACACTGTGCAAAAAGAAATAGTGAATAATAATCAGTAATTATCCAAAAAGCTGCAATTTGATGTTCTGAGTCACGCAATACAAAAACCTCCTGAAGAAAAGGACTATTAAAAAAAACCAAAGTATTGTAGATTTTGCCCATTTTGCAGACAAAAAACAGAGGGAGGGAGAGAGGGAGGGAAAAAAAAACAACCCAAAAAAGCAGAATCAGCTATGGTACTTGGCCAAAGTTGTATAGAACAGGAACCAGAACATGAATCAGATCTGCGTGAGATTTGTATTTACAGGTGGTACTTAACATCTCAAAAAAAACCCAACCATAATAAAAAAGCACCCCTTAAAGCCCCACGCTGTGAAAATAAGACAGACAGCTCCAGTGGGAGAAAACACCTCCAATGCAAAAATGTTCTTGCGGATAGGGCTACAACATAGAACTGCTGGCATGCATACACATTTGGTTTTACCTTGCAGCATATAACACTGTAGTCCCAGTTTGCGTGCTGAAGGGAAGATGATATACACAACTGACTGAAAAGTGTAATGTTCATAAAAGTATTTTTAAAACTTTGAGGAATTTCTAAATTCAAAGACAGCTGATTTTGCAGTTGTTAAGACCTCCCCTGCCCCTCACAAGTTGTTTGTATTGTAGATTTGCCCCAAACAGAAAGGTTCAGGAGTACTAGCCTGTGCATAGGTCCCACTGCAAACCACTCCACTCCATTCTGTAATATTAATGCATTTGGGGTGTTGAATCAAGTAGTTATCCATTCTGCCCACATAGGTATTCTTGTAGTCAGTCACTGAACCATCTAGATCATGGAATATTGAGTTCTTGTCACCATCCAGATCTCCTTCTTCAAACCAGGGACCAGGTTTTCCAAAGAAGGCTTTCAAAGAAACCTGGCAACAACAATTAAAATATTTATTTTTCTCCCCAGACAAAGCACAGACTAACACACTTGCACACCTGCAGAATCATAGGAATTTAACAAAGTTGATTAAAAACCTTATCGAAAGGACAGAAAAATAGATACTTTGATTTTTAGTAACAAGCCCTGGCCAGGTCTTACTTCTGAAATGCTAATATTTGCAACTGAAAATTCTATTAAGGATATACCATACCTTACAAAATCTCCTTTCATCTTTCCCATTAGCCATGAAAGAGATCATTATTGCAACATAGCCTACATCTCCGTTGGCATTACTTTTTTGTTCCGGAGACAAAGGATACACCCTGGTGACTTCTAACCAAGAAAGAAACTCTCTAGCAGGGATGTATGGAAAAGATGACCTAGGGGTGGCCCTTGGATGTTTTTTTTAACTACAGCAAGAATAAAGCCATTTACAAGAATAAAATAAAACTTGCAATAAACTTACATTTGGACCAAACTTCACAAGAGAAATGTTGTTTTTTGGTGTCATCTGCCATGGATTTTTCATTAAGAATCCAACTGCACTGGTAAATCTGTCTGGAGTTGGTACAAAGTTTTTGAATGTGCACTTGGTAAGGTGAATAGGTCCATCATAAATTTGAAATCCTCTGATTGGAAATGTCCTGTTAATGCAAGTAAATATTTATACCATCTTGTAACAAAACCCATGATAAGCCGGAATCTGTGTTGTAAGTACATTTCCTCTCAGAGGAATCAAGAGAGCAACATTTAGAGAATGACCTGGAGGTTAGATCTTAGTAAAGGAAAACTTTTCCTGTGCTTATCTAATGCATCTACCCTCCCACATACTCTAGTATTTCCTGATAGAAGTGCTATCACTTCGCAAATGTGCCCCTTCCCCAATACTGAAAATACAGCAGAATAATACCACCTGGTCTTTGACTAATCATGGCAACTGGGAGAAGTGCCTGCAGACTGGAGAAAAGCAAACATGACTTTTAAGTTGAAGAAAGAACACCCAAGGAACTGAAGGCTGGTGAGCTTCAGCTTGATCCCCAGGATGGTGATGGAGCAGCCAATCCTGAAAACCATTTCAAGGAACAGAAGGACAAGAACTCAGCAGGAATGGTTGAGACCCAGTCCCTTGGGAAACAGTACTGAAGGACAAAGGGGTGCAGGAAGCCTGGACACTCCTTAAGGTGTCACCAAAAGTCAGGAGAATAAAACTCCTTAATAACAATGTAGCATTAAGAAGCAAGCGTTACTTATTATGGTGCTGGATGCACAGGGGATAGCTCCTCCTAACACGCATGCCAGTTCTTATAGGTTTCTTCCTTATAAGCATCCATCTCATACATATATTCCCAGAAATCTTATACATATTATAATTTATTCCCAGAATTAATTAACATGAGTTAACTACTCACTAGAATACGCGCAGTTTATTTTAAGTAAGGGTCCCAAGGGTCTTTGGGACCCCCGGTGATCGTATCTTTGTTGACCTCCGGTTGAACTTTTCTCACCTTCCTTTTATGGCCTTAGGCTGGCCTCTCTTCTGACTTTGTGAAGAATGGTTCCCAGTTCATTGAGCTGGAGAGGCACTTTGTGAACAACAGTTCCTAGTTCAGGGAGCTGGATAGGTAAAGAATGTTCTTTACCCATTGTCTTGTTCCTCCTTGACATATGTATGGTATTGTTTGGTTAAAGTTCAACTTGGTGGTTTGCTTCAGCTAACAATCAGTAAAACAAGTCCTCTCCTATCAAAGGCATGGGAGCAGGCAGTCCCCATGTGCTGAAAGCCTAACCAGCAGAGAAGACCAGCCTGGTTGAACAGATACAGCTAGAACTCAGGAAAAAAAAAAAGAGAATCTATCACCAGTGGAAAAAGGGACTGTTACCCTAAGAGGAGTACAAAGATAATGCTAGGTTATGCAAGGAGAAAATTAGAAAGGTGAAGGAACAGCTGGAACTTAATCTGCCTGCTACTATAAAAGATAATAAAACATATTTTTACACATAAATTAGCAATAAAAAGGTGGGCCAAGGAGAACCTCCATCCTCTACTTGATACTGGGGGAAACCTAGTGACTGTGGATGAGGAAAAGGCTGAGGTACTTAATGCCACCTTTGCCTCAGTTTTTAATAGCCAGACCAGCCACCCTCAGGGTACTCAGTTCCCTGAGCTAGATGACAGAGATGAGGAGCTGACTGAAGGCCCCATAAATCAGGAGGAAATGGTTAGAGACCTCCTGCTTTACTTAATCATATACAAATCTATGAGGCCAGATGGGTTACACCTAAGAGTGCTGAATAAGCTGACAGAGGAGATGTATCAGTGATCTGGATGAGGGGATTGAGTACACCCTCAGTAAATTTATGGACAACATCAAGTTGGGTGGGAGTGTGATCTGCTGGAGGGTAGGAAGGCTCTGCAGAGAGATCTGGACAGGCTGATTGATGGGCCGTAGCCAATCATATGATGTTCAACAACGCAAAGTATAATGCATTTGGGTCACAACACCACCAAGCAACACTACAGGCCTGGGGAAGAGTGGCTGGAAAGCTGCTTGGTGGAAAAGGACCTGGGAGTGCTGCCTGATGCCTGAACACAAGCCAGTCTGTGCCCAGGAGGCCAGAAAGCCACCAGCATCCTGGCCTGTATCAGAAATAGCGTGGCCTGTAGGTAATGGCCTCAAAGCTGCACCAGGGGAGGTTTAGATTGGATATTAGGGAAAATTTCTTCGTCAAAAAGGTGATCAGGTACTGGCACAAGCTATCCAGAGAAGTGGTGGAGTCACCATGCCTGGAAGTATTCAAAAAACCGTATGTATGAGGCCCTTAGTGACACAGTTTAGTGGTGGACTTTGCAGTCCTGGGGTAACAGTTGGACTTGATGCTCTTAAAGGTCTTTTCCAACTTAGTTGATTCTACGATTCTGTGGTAATGATTGGAATGGATTCATCAAGGAGCAGTCATGCTAGACCAACTTGATAAACTTCTGTGATGAAATGACTGGCCTGGTAGCTGAGCGGACAGCAGTGGACACAGTCTACCTAAACTTCAGCAAGGCTTCTGACACTGTCTCTCAAGATTCTCATGAAGTATGGAATGGATGACAGGACAGTAAGGTGGACTGAAAACCAGCTGAATAGCTGGGTGCAGAGGGTGGTGGCATGAAGTCTACCTGGAAGTATCTAGTGGTGCATCCCTGGGGCCACTATTCAATCTTGTTCAACATCTTCATTAGTGATCGGATGACGGTGCTGAGCACACCAAGTCTTCAGAGGGCAAAAATCTGCAAGGAGCAGCTAATACACCAGAGGATTGTGCTGCCATCAAGGCAGACCTCAACAGGCTGCAGAAATGGGCAAATGAGAACCACATGAACTTCAACATGGGTAAGTGTAAAGCCCTGAACTAGGGAGGAACAATCCTACACACCAGTGAAAAGGACTTACAGGTCCTGGTGGAAATCAAGCTGAGCATAGGCCAAAGAAGTGCCCTTGCTTCAAAGAGGTAAATGGCATCCCGAGCTGCACTGGGAGATGTGTCATCAACAGATTGAGGAAGGTCATCCTTCCCATCTGCTCAGCATTGGTGAAGCCACACCTAAAGTGCTTTTCCCCAGTATGAGACAGGTATGGAGCTGCTGGAGAGAATCCAAAGGCTACAAAGATAATTAAGTGGCTGGAGCATCTCCCACAAGAGGAAACATTGTGAGACCTCAGACTGTTAAGCCTGGAGCAGAGAAGGCTCAGATGGAAATCTCATCGATGTATAAGAATCTCTGAAGAGAGGGTGCAAAGAAGTTGCAGCCAGACTCTTTCCAGTGGTACCCAGTGACAGGATCACAGGCAATGGGCACAAGCCGAGAAACAGGAGAGTCCTCCTGAACATAAGGAAACACTTTTTCCACTGTAAGGATGGAAAGCACTGTAAGGATGACTGAGCACTGGCACAGGTTACAGAGAGGTTGTGCAATCTTCATCCTTGCAGATGTTCTAAAGCTGCTTGAACACGGTCCTGGAAAACCAGCTCTAGGTGGTCCTTCTTGAGCAGGGCAGCTGGACAAGATGACTCCCAGAGGTCCCTTTCAATCTCCACTGTTCCATGATTCTGCTCAACTACATCTCATTTACCACCATCACATTAACAACTTCTTGCTAAATGGCTAAGCAGCAAAAAAACAGGGTGGACTCTACCTACCTTATCTTTCTTGCCTATTTCGTGTCAGGGGCAGGATCTGGCACTACGTTAAACGAGTACCACAGCAAGCCAGAAAGAAAAGGATCATGATCACAGATTGGGATTTGTCATAGAAAGAATATAGCCTCTAGTCCTAAACTGACCCTTTGAAACCCTGTTACCTGAAAGCTTTTTCCTTCTCTCTTCCAGGCCCAAATGTTGTTTAAAACTAAGGTTTCAAGAAAGTAGAACAACTTTATCTACGGAAAACTGACCTGTAGTAGAACCAGATGAAAACTGGCTCAGCAAAAAGGTGAGAGTGACACTGCTGCACACAAAGTGTTAAAAATGAGTGACACCTTCAACAGAGCCTTAGCCTCTCACAGCTCAAGCGAAAAGGGTGTTTATATCTGACAACAGAGAAAGTTTCTTGTATCATTTCTACCTCACCCGTAACATACTTACCGATTTCTAGGCAGAGTGCGTGCCTTGTTGTCTATCCCGCCAGTTCCCGCATATTTATTTTGGCCGCCTAAAAACCCGTAATTCTTGCTCTCACCAATGAACAGAGACTCAGATACCTCCTGACTGGCACCTTCATCATTTGGGAAGCTCCCATCACTGTCAAAGCAACATCAGAGATTAGCTTTTAGCCTCCCCAGTAGATGAAAACACCGAGGCATAGTCCTACTTTTACTTCTGTAACAGTCCTGCTAAAGCAGAGCAGTCTAGACTTCATGTACAATACAGAGAAAAATAAATTTAATCATTAACAGTATCATAGGCTGTTTGAAATGCCAGCAGACAGCTGAGTGTTAAATTTTTTATCTCCCTCTGTAGTGCAGCATTCTTTAACAGCCTACTTTTGCAGTCCTAGAACCAGCCTGCCATAACCTAAATGGCATCAATTTTGGCTTATTCCTTAATTTACTTGGTTCTGTTTTGTTAGAAAGAGACTCTGCCCCCTTCAAAATGCTCATCTTCTTTCTTTTCCATTACTTGCTTTCAATTGTTCAGGAGGAAAAATCAAAATGCCTAAGGAATCATACAATACCAAAAATATGTGGATAAATGTATCCCTTCTGGCAAAAAGGAAGGAAATTGTGGTGTAAACCAAGCACAGGTTGAAGTGAAGTGCAAGCTTTGGCAGCTGTGTCAGCTTACAGCCTTTATAACATCAGTGCACTACTCGAAATAGAACTAGGCCCAAAAATAAAACTATGACTTTATGAAAGTAAACCTATTAATTTTAATAGATGGATGTATATTTTCTAAGATTCTAGGCAAGAAAAAACAGAAGTGATTAACATAAAGTACTTACCTAGCAAATGTCAAACCTATTCCATTGTCTGCAAACCTAAAAGAAAGTTCAAAGCTTCAGTCATATTTTCGGGATTATCCTACAACAAGCTACTATAAGAGCACACCCTGCCATGCACAGAAAAAAAGCCTTAATTTTTCTATTAATGGAATTTAGAACCAGCACACACTTAACACATATAAAAATGATGCTGTTAAAAAAAACCCTGTTTTACCACAGATACCTCAGTATAAACTTACTGTCTCAACCAACTTTTAGAATTCTTTTTACTACATAGTTTCTTTTTGCCTTTTAAGGAAGGTTCTCATCTAACCACATATAAACTTGTTTCATTTAAAGTAGTGGAATGGTGTGAAAGCTGTTCAAGATACTGAGAAGTTCCTCGAGGTAAGCATTAGTCTTTCCTTACAACCCTGTTGTAATGCATTTTCATGAACAAAGCTTCGGGGGAAACTTCTTAACAACATGCAGCTGTTTGCTTCTGGATACCCACCCAGAGTTTTGAATGAGGATATCCCCTCCCCTGACCCACGCCCCATGATCATTGTTTTTGAAAGAGATTAATCTGTCAATCAGGGCAGCAACTCGGGGCTTTTCAGGGTCTGCATCTTGATGAGGTCGAAACCTGGGACAGATAAAAAAAACAGAAACTCAACATAAGAATACTGTTTGCTTTACACATGTGATACATGCTGGCCTGAGAAAGCCTGAAAGATAAAGACTCATGCTCATCTGATGGGCAAAATCCACTCTGCTTCCTGTTTGCAATTACAGAAGCCAAAAACCAGGTGCATCTCAAGCTCTCTATTTCGGGGAATGGTTTTGGGGGGTAAAAAGAAGCAGGAACATAAAACTTCTCTTTTTCAGTAACTCTCACAGACTTTTGCTCAATCTCCCCGAGTTCCTTTAGCTGCATCTCACCTGCTTTTATCCCCTTGCTTTTCATTTTTGCTCTCTCCAAAGTACTCTCTCCCAACTTGCAGCATTAATGTCAAAGTTTGATGGAGGGAATTAAAGCTCCTTGGAAGGATACATAGGCCTGACATGCACTATAAAGGCTGGCAGCTTGTCTAAATGCTCTTTCAAATCTTTCAAACTCTTCTGATGTCGAGGAGTGCTCCTTCTTTGAGTACACTCAAGATACTTTTCTGTTCCAACCCAGACACTCCACATTGCTATCAAGATGGTCTCATACAGAAAGTTATGGCTGGAATCTATTTTAGACAACAGGAAGAAACAACCTGATAAAAGGCTGGTGGAAGCTTTCACTTAACTATTCCTAACAAAACTATTTCCAAGCAAAAAGTAATCAATTAAGAAAAAGATTACAAAAATCCGTTTTGAGGCACATAAAGAAATATATGTGTCCTTTATCCCAATCACTTTGTACTCCAATTTCACTCTGCCCTGCCTCCCCCCAAGGGAGGAAGGGAAGAATGGGTAATTTTTATTTTTCTTTTTGTTGAGAGTGTTGGGCTCCTCAATTAATGTTTAAATGCCTCTAGTTTGGGTCCATGTACAATAATTAGTGGCCTCATGTATTTAGAGAGTGCCTTATTACTTCTTCGGCTGCTGCAAAACCTGAAACCCATCTCTCATGCACTGACTTTCTCGCATCCTCTTCTGATGCCCTGTCAACACATTACAGGTTCTCACAGCTCATTTTGCCCCTCATACGTTCCTCTTGTCCAACTGTTTCGAAGGATGTAATCCACAAGGATTATATAAGTTTTCCATTAAAACATCAAACTAGTGAGTTCTTGTCCAAATCATGAACCAAGTATTGCCAAAACTGGGAACTATTCTCTCTGCACCTGCAACTATCATTTAACTTCCTCATTCTAAAAACAGGTCAATCAGAACTAAAGATATTCATATGAGTTGTATTGTCAGCCTTAATGCTTAGTTGTTATAATAAAATGTTCAGATACAGTTGTTGTCATTATACCATTATCCCAGGCTATTTTATTTGAAGTTCAGGGTAAGAGTAAGCAGGCACAGGATAACATGGAATTTTTCTAAACTCTCCATAAACTATCTCACTTTGTAAACTAAAGAAAATGTGGTTGATTGCTCCATCTCTGCAAAAAGCCTTCAGTAAAACTACCACTGACTTATAATCTCCAAGTCCAAAAGGTATGGCAGGAAGCATTCAGTGGTAGGAAAGCCAAGCAGAGGTATTACTTGGCTCTATTAAGCCTTTTTCTAGTAATTATTTAAAACCGAGACATAAATCAGAAGAGCAGATTTTAAAGACAGTAAGCAGCAATTCCATAAAATACTTTAAGCACGACAGTGGAACATATTTGAAATGATGTCTCCTAAGAGGCTGAAAACTACCCTGAGCAAGGGTTCAGAAGTTAACAGCTCCATGCTCTGATGTTCCCAAAACAGATAAACAAATGGAGGAAGAATATATTAATTTATTGTTATTATTTATAAATAATTATAGTTTTAAAAATAGTTTTCCTGATGTGAATGTAAGAGCAAACTGAGAACTTTGTGATTCTTCACTCACTTGAAAGAAAATATCCTTTACCTTGCATTGTTATCCAAACAAAGATATTCTCTGGGATCATCAGCGCTAGCATTAGTTGTTTTAACACCTTTATCAATGAACAAACCAGCCTGAAACAAGCAAGGAAAGAAAATTCATGCAACCCAAAACTAAAATCTAGAGCAACCACTACATTTTTAAACTTTAAATTTTACATTGCATTCGATTCACACATTAGAAACTTCCAGATCTATTTGTCCTTAACTGACATATTGTCTAAAGGAAGAAAAACATGTTTCCACTAATCTGGGATTTAAAAAAAAAAAAAAAAAGAGCAATGGAAAATCATTACAGTTCATTTCAGACTTCTTTCACAATGTCTGACTATTTGAGGTTTTGCACTTATTTCCAGATGCTGTTCTGGAAAATCAAGAATCCAATTTTGAGGTGAATTCAAAATATTCTCACTAATGGGGGTAAAAAAAAAAAAAACAACAAACCACCAAACCAAAAACCCAAATCCCACACTGTGAAAAATGCTTTGTATTTAAAATTATAAATTACCTTCACCACTGAAATGGATTTTTGCCCAAGCAATCACCAATTTGAAACTCAATAATCCACTATGAAATAATTGGAGAAAACAGAAGCAGAAAGAAGCACAAATATGCATTCATCCTGACTAACATACACAAATACCTGCAGGTACTTCCACATCTAATCCAAATTACGATTACAATTGAAAGTTCCTACATGACTGGATCCTTAGACCTACCAGTGGAGTTTGCCCTTTTAATATGGAATTTTAGCACACAAATCCCTACTCTTGTTTGAAGATAGTATGACCCATACAGCTGAAAAACTTTTTCTTTACAATGCGGTTTTGTATTCAGTGTGTTTTAATTCCAATCTGAACAAATGCCCTGCAGTCCCAAACACACCATTAACACAACTTCTGTGAAGCAGTGCATCATTTTTGGTATCCCCAACACCCAACTGTCAAGTAGAATCAGTTTCACTTGGTAAAAAACAAAATCCACTACTGATCCTGAAGTTTACTATGTAAACTTCGAACACAAATTAATATTTCGATGGCTTTGTAAACGTCATTAGATTTATACATATACATATGCACACACACAGACACAGAGCGGCTAGATTCCAAATGAAATAATTAAAGGACTTAGTTGCATGTGAAAAAATTACAGTAAAGCCACATACATGAAAGTATGTATGATAAAACTATGATTCCATTCTAAAACAATGCTGGATGCCTGTAGCTAGGCTGAGAAGCCTCAAAAAAAAATGTTGCCAATGGCAGGGCTCCTGAAGGTAACCTAGAAGCATAATCTCTATTCGGAGACTGCCACCATGTGTAAACACCTAGGTTACTGTACATTAGAGACTTAGGAAGAAAGTCACAGCTGTTCCAGGAAGCTATTAGATGAATGACAACTACAATAAACTTTGATGCTTCAAGGGTCAGCTTTCTCTGGAGTAGAAAACAATGCCATCAGTAAGAGAGTAGCATCTGAAATGCTACTTCTGAGAGAATTTATTTCATTTGAAGCATTCATTGATTTTAGTTGGGTTCTGCCTTAAGAGGATATTAAACAGTTAATACCTGAAATGTGGCAGGAAACTATACACATGATTATACACCTTTCTACAACACCTAGATATGATAATGTAGTTCAAACACAGCATGAATCCACCAGGTAACCAGCTTAAAATGTAAAAAGACAATTCCCAATTTAGAATATTTACGTATTTTTTTTTTAATGAGATAATAAATTACCTTAAAATTAGAGTGAACCCTGTTGTTATAGAAGATTCCTAGGGGTGTAAGCTCTGACTTGGTTTCAGTGGCCACACTATGAGAATCACCTGTAGCAATCCTGTGGAACAAATACCATATTCCAGCATCCTGCAAGCAAGAAAAGAGTGAAGTTACTTATAAGTGAATCTGATACTACTATCAGCGCCGATCTATCGAATCACAAAGTAGGTGTATGCTAAGTGGAACTTGGATATTTTAACTAAGGAAGTGAATAAGAACATAGCTCAAACCAACTGTGCACTATGGAATATATTTTTCAAAACAAAGTCTTCAAACACCTCTCCAGGGAATATGTGGAAGTTTGCAAATAAGGCTATATTCTAGTGAATAATGTGCACTATAAAGCGTTTTGCTTTTCAGGGAAGCCATTTAACACAACACATTTAAGATCCTCTAATATTTCAAGCCAGAAAAGCATCAGAATTAATGTAACTTTTGCATTTTAGTTGCATTTCATTACATACACTTGATTTTCCTTTGTTTACTAGTAAATCATACTGTTTACAGTAAAACACTGGAAAACCCCCCTCTCCTCTTTACTGCTGCAGTCTAACTAAGGTTTGCTCATCTCTGCTCACATCGTAATTTAATGACACAGCCAAAAAACCCAAAAGAGCTTTCAGAGGAAGGGAAAAAAAAAGCACATCAAGAAGTCTGGCCAGTTCAGAGCACTGTGCCAATAAAATGCAGTAATAATTTCAGCATCTGTTCATTTTCTCCACTTCTTCAACATCCCCCTGCTTTTAAAGAAGCTGGAATTATCTGCTAAATGAGATCAGTAAAAGTCCGCTTTTCAACCACAGATGAGTTCACAAGAGATAGCATCAGGACATCATCTCCAGAACAGATACCTACAAACATGAAAAAATTTTGCCTGACTACATGGTCTGTGCCCTTATAAAATTAAAAATATCACTGCATAAGGCACATTAAAGGGTTAAACAGTAGTTACAGAAACACTGTATACCGAGTGCTCATTTTCTGAAAAAACAGTCATCATCCTCTTGTTAAAGAAAGATGGATAAAGCCAATTCATTCTGGCTTCAAAGATTCGATGCGTTTCATTCAGAGTATACTCATTTTCCAAGCAGTCCTGGAAACTCTGCTTCTCAGTAACATATTCCCACCCGTAATGATGACACACTTTGACATTTCTAGTGATTAACAATTCCAAAGCAAATGTGGATGTTCCATTAATAAAAATACCAAAATCTTACTTCACATATAATTAAATACAGCTCTGTGCTTGGCAGGCTCAAGTAATTCTCATCCAAAACATATTCCGATGCTTGGAAAAAAGTTTAATAAACTTAAAAGCTCCTTAAGCACTTGCAAGCATTCCAAAAAATTAAAATTCCACCACCACCACCCTCCAGCTCAAACAAAAGAAACATCTATTGCTGATACACCCTTACAATAGGCTTCATTGTGTAACAAAGGAGATGGGAAGGCAATGGAATTATTTCATTTGCTTGTGAATTGTTATAGTTTAAACCAGCAAAAGCTCTACAGTGCAGAGTTTGTATCAACACAGTTGGAGTATTCTGTTTCTGAAACATAATAAGCTGTAGCCCCTTTGCAACGGAGGTATATTAGAGTGGCCAGACACACAAACACTTGCTCTGACCATGCACATTCTGGTAACAGAAGAAGTGACATTTACTGGGATACACTACAGAAGCAGAAAAAGACCTTGCAGGTTTTGAACAGTACATCAAGGAAGCTTTAACTTAACCTGCAATGCTAATACAAGGTAAAGCAATATTATACAAAGCAGAAAAAATTGAAAAACATTGCACTGAATCACAGTCTAGTTTGGGATGGAAGCAACCTTAAAAGATCATCTGGTTCCAAACCTCCTGCCACACGCAGGGACACCTTCCACTAGACCAGGGTGCTGAAAACCCTATTCAACCTGGCCTAGGTTTGCTGTGCTTTGTTCTCAAACTTAGGTTTGCTTTCCTCCACTGTATGCACCTCGTTTGAGCCATGAAGAGCCAAGAGAGAAAAATGCTTTTGTAAACTTCTGAAGGAGTTTACTTGAAAACCATTACCAGTGTATCTTTGCATCACAGCACAACTTTTCTCTTGGATCTGCCTTCCTCAAGCCCACCTCCAAACTATCTGTGACTTTGGAACTAGAAGCACCAGCTTTACAGAATAGCCGTGTTTATGATGAGGCTTACATTTGTCGTGGCATGCCTACTTTGCCTGCCAGAGTCCTAGTGCTGATTGGTTTGATAAGGGTGTCCAGATCCTTCCTAGTGGTAGACAGTCAACTAGAAAAGTTTGTCCAAAAGCAAAATAAACAACCCCCCCAAAAAATCCTCCAAAAACCAAACCAAAATAATAAAAAAAAACAAATACTCCAGACCATACAAAACACAGAACAAAAGTTTCTAAGGCAATTTTAATACTCTAGATATTTTAACTCATTTAAATATTTTGAATCCTGTTCTTTTAATAACAGTATTCTGTGCCTAAGAATACAATGACACACATTCATATTCTACTTCCAGCACTGGAGCCTTTGCAACAACAGCCATCTTGCCTGTTTTCCATTCCCACTGATCTCTTCAAAACAATCCACTCAAAACCATGCATGTAACAGCCTTTCATCCAGTGTAGAACATACGCCAGCCCCCTCCTCCACAACGTACTGAGTAGTTCAGCTTTACTTTGCAAGCAGCTGTGACAAATGATTTGCAGTAATATAAGGCACACAACAAGCAAAACCATATCAGCAGTCAGATTGGAAAACAAATGACTAACAACTGACAATAAAAGCGTTTTAGCTGTTTCTTACACAATAAAGATTTTTTGTAGTCATTTTTCATATCAATAAATACAGCTACGGATAAATCTTCCAAAGCAGTCACACAGCAAACTCATAACAAGCTACAGAAAATACAAAGGCCTTAATATGAAATGCACTAGTTCTTTGGAAATAAAAGGATATTTGTACATATACTTATTGACAATATTGGCAGGTCTACTGACTACAAAGAGGAAGAGATCTCCTCTGTTCCAGCAACAACAAAGACTTAAATGCACACCTAGGCAAAATTGTAATGCCAGTATGCTGCCAAACTTAAAAAGAACACATTCATATATAAAAATGTATTTAGTTTTGGCAGTGTAAATGTTGCAGGTTTTACAAGTACCAGTGGCATTGAGTAGTTTATGTTAAATTACCTTCATATGCCTCACCTGTGATCCTGCTGCTGCATTATTTATAAGATGATTGTTGGGATGAGAAATCCAGAATGTCGAAACTGCCCTGAAATATTATTCCAAAAGAAGTTATTATGGAAAAAAGGTGTAACTCCTACAAAAATATCTCACTTTTGCAACAAACACATCAGAAAAAAACTAAACTGATGGCTGAAGTCATTACTTCATATATTAAAAAAAAGAAAAAAAAAAAAAAATCACACCCCACACACACATTTAGAAATCAAAAATAATTCACTCAATGCACAGTGTTTTATTTAATGCTGTTCAGATACTCTGTGCAATGATAAACTGCTTAATAAACTTCTACAAGAGATGAGTCTTATGCAGAAAAACTATTTATGACTTGAGAAAGTGCATGCCTTTACAAAGAAGATGCAGCTTTAAAAGTCTGCTGAGCAAGTACTGCAAAACACAAGTCTTCCTACAAAACAACTTATTTTTTCTCCTTAATAAAAGACTAAACACTAACTCCATTTAAGGTGTCTGTACTCTTCAAATTATACATGTTCCCATCTGTACACTGTCAAGAGATCAGCAGCAGTTCAGCTGCTGCAGCTGGTTTGATTTTTTCACCCTGAAATACTCACATGCAGTCTGTGGCTGGCACTGGGATATAACTGCCATAAACTTTATCCCTAATAATAGTACACATGCTGCTGTTTCTATCTGTAGGAAGAAGAGTGCCTGGTTTTGTGACTAGCCCAAGGTTGTGGAATAAAGTATTCCTCTGCTCAATGCCATCTTCTGTGAAGAAACAGTGACCTAGTGTGTCATAGCCAATGGTGTCCTTTATCTGCAGAAATACAAGTTCATTATGTCAGTGTCAATAGCAATTACTGTGATCTATTTGACAAGTACCCTCTAGTTTTACTATCTTGGCACAGCTGCAGAGTGAAGCTTCTGTATCAGCAGCTCAGATAATTCAAGCATATAGTTTATTTATCCCTTACAAACATACTACTGTGTCTGGAGAGCTTAGCTGCCTGGAACAATTGGTGAGATTTGTTAAAAATAAGTAAATAAGTTAGTTTCATTTTTTCATTTATTCATTGCAATAAAAAACCATTTCTGAACTTGAAGAAGGAAGAGGACTATTTCTGCTCTAAAAGGTCTTTGTAACATTTATTTCAACGGAGTACGTTTTACTCTCCTTGCACCTACCAGCAAGCCATTAGTCGCATGAATAGTCACACATCTGGAAAAACAGTGGTGAATGGAAAGACCTTCCAGGTAAGTCTTAAAGCTATAACCTCCTTTTTCATCCACATCCCCACAAAGGTGAAAGTGAACAGGGTAACTTCCAATCTGCTGCTGGCCCATTTGCTTCAATTCCACATAGGAGAGATGAACAGATGTAAAATTCTTCAAAATCTAAAAATATCACAAGAAGTCCAGGATGAATAACCAGTATTTGCTTTTTAACCAATGGAAATTTAAGTTAATACATCATTTATACTGGATGTACAGAAGTCAGGTGTACAGTTACCACAGGCCAACACAATGAAATACAAAACAATCACTACTGTCTTGCTCAATATCCTGCCTCACAAAACAGCGTCCTTCATAAAAAAGCATAAAAGCTAAATCTGTGTGGCTAAATCAGAGCCATTTAAATCAGATATACTGTCACACTTTATTCTTTGGTCTGTATGAGCTAGCATGTTAAATATTCTTTACATACTGTCCAAATATACAAAAGCCACCCGTATCAGGGCCCGTCTATACTGAAGCTGCACCAATGTAGCCCACAGGATAGCCTGGGACAGGCTTAGCTGATGTCACAGAATAATAGAGATTCCAAAGAACCTGCTGAGATAACTAGAATCACAGAGTCAACTAGGTTGGAAAAGACGTTAATATTGTCAAGTCCAACCTTTATCCCAGGACTGCCACGTACACCACTAAACCATGGAAGATAAGGCCCTCAGTGACATTTTTCTGAACACTCCCAGGGACGGCGATTCCACCAGTTCCCTGAGCAGCCTGTTCCAAAGCCTGACCACCCTCTTGGTGATCTCCAGTTTTTACCTAGCAAAGAATACACCTATCCATGGCCATGAGCAGCCAGTTCTCCAGGAGAACATTGCAGGAGAATATATTAAAGCAATGGCAGACTACCCAATGCAGCTTCTCACCTTGATGTGTCTACAGTCTTGGAAGCTTAACTTCCCTATGCTCTCCTCCAACTGAACCTCGAGCTTGTTTGTAGGCTCTGGCAGGGGAGAACAGCTACCATATACTCTTGACCCATGAACAGTACATCTTTGTCAAGGAAATTTGTCCACTATGATGGAGTGTGCAACTCTGGGAGGGATGCACATGGAGTAGTCAGGGAGGAAGGGGACACCTGCCTAGCCAGCCAGACCAGCTAAGTCAACCTTGGCTATAAATGGAGTGACCGTTGCAGCCAGACTGCCCTCACATCCAGGTTCATACCTGGTCCAATTACCAGCTCAGCACAGGGTCAACTTTAAGCCTTCTGCTCAGCACACCGCCCAAGGAATAGCTTCTGAGAGATGCTCATATGATGTTCACTGTTCTCTCCCTTTCATTTTTCTAGTATCTAACCAGAATTTGTCTTGTTGAAGGTTGGTCCCATTGCTTCTTGTCCTATCTGTGCATCTCCAAGAATTGCTCTTGCCTGTCTGAACCCTCCTCTGCTCCTGAAGACAGCAGGAACGTCCATCTTCCCCAGACCAAACAAGGCTTGCTCTCTCAGCTCCTCCTCACTCGTCATCACCTGCTCCCAATACACCACCTTTACTGGACCCACCCTAGTGCATCTACATCATCTTTGCGAAACTGGACACAGCACTCCTGAGGAACTTCTTTATTAAGAGAGATAAGAAACTGCCTTCAATTTCACAGTAACGCTACCTAGTACAAAGTAAAAACGTAATGGAGCTGTAGCTGTAACACAGGAAAGCAGAAGTATTTTCTTCCACCTAACCTGCTATGAACACAGAAACCAAGTGCAACAGCTAAACTGCAAGTAGCTAAACTAAGAAAGAAAGCCTTTTTTGTTATTTTATTAACTTACTTGTACTGAGTATTTACTAAAACTAACCATTTTCATATGTACTTTGTTCTTGAGGGAAACTAGTAGCATGGAGTTCACCTCTTCCCTTGCACTCCTAAGGTTTGTATGCCTAAATACCAGAGGGATTGTCAGAAGCAGGCATCCCAGAAATTTCCTACTCTTAACATTTTAACAGCACTAATGCCGTCATAAAACTACAAGTAAGCATCTCTCCTCATTGCCAGTAAGCCTCCTTTATCCCACTATCCCAGTGACCATCAAAAAATCCAGAATGATCAAAACCCCTGAGGCCATTAACATTTGCTAGTACCTGCCCTCCTTCTGCTTAAGCACTGCAAGATTAACATAAACTGAAAATGCTTTTAGCTGAGGTCTAGGTTTGGCAGCAGACACCCAGCTACTCAGAACAGTCTCCTGGGAACAGTATGACAACTTTGATGACCCAAAATGTTTGTTTTCTGTTCTATCTGCCAGACATCTGAAGGGTCTGCTGTATTTGCGCTATTGTGGCAATGAAGGTCATGCTTTGCAAGATTCACAGCTTGTTATTATCTTCTTTCATTACATTATCTTAAACACAAAAGAGTGCCTTGAGCCCACCTACTTCTCTTCCACAAAACAAAAGCTGCCACACAGCAGGGAAAGGGCATATTTTCTTTCCCACCATTATGTTCACTGCTGAAAATAAAATCTGCATGCAAACATGAAAGAGAACATTAGAAAGAGAGCTTTAAACTGTGACTAGCACATAATGAGCACAAATGCATTTGCATATAAAATACAAGGCCTCAAACTTTTCCAGCATCAGTGAAGAGCTGACTGCTGCTCAATCCTTTCATCTAAAAATGTAAGTGAATACTAGTTTAGTTTCTTTAATACTACTTTTCCTCAGCTTTCTTCATGTTTATGGTAGTACAAGAAATTAGAAGCAGTTTCCTTTACATAACCTTAGTAATTAGTACTTTCCATAAAAAATAATAAGTAAATTAAATAAAAAAACACCATGGTCCAGTTTCTTTCCTCTCCATGTGTCTCTAGTGCCCGATTTCAGATAAAGCACATCTCTAGGATTCAGTGCAGAAAGGCAGGGAAAGGAAGGGAGAAAAGGGAGATCAAATTTTACTTTACAATGTCACAGGATGCACATACATGGACATCACTTTTAAGGTTTAATCCCTGCCTTACAACATTGTGGAATGTGCTGACCATTTCATGCACTGATATCTCTTCCTCCAATTCTGCAGATGAAGTCTTCATAAGGTAAATCTCATTTGGGGAAAGCTGAGAATAAAGTCATTTCTACACAAAGCAGTATGAATCAATGATCTTTAATTTTTCTAAGTTTAGTGCCTTTTTCTTCTCACTATACCTTTACATGACAGCAAGCTACTTTAAAATGCTTTTCATACCTTTATATGTCCACCAAATGTATCATAATTGAAGAACTGGCACTCCTTTTCACGATAGCAGGCATCTGCTGTCTCTCCCTTGATTAAGATGTTTCTTGTAAGAACTCCGACTTCTGCCCTCATGTCCACTCCATCAATAACTTCTCCTACGTGAGGAAACTGAGGATTTTCTGTCCAAAACCAGTTTGAAGCAGGGAGGAAAAATAGAAAAAAAAAAAAATTGTCATTAACTAAAAAAAAAAAACAACAAACACGAAAAACCTTACATTATAAACAAGTTAACTGTAGCAACAAAACCTGTGCATTCCAATACCTTAACATGCTATTGTCTCTTAGCTTTCTTATGCTAAGGCAGAAAAACCCCACATAATTGTTAAATAATAAACATTAACCCAGCTAACACCAAGTCCCAGACTGTGTTTGACTCCGATAGTTAAGCATCTTGCAGGATGATGAATAAAGTACACTACTCCATGTTTCCAAAACAATGCACTGCCTGCGTATTTTTCATTTTAGTAAAACAATTAATCCTAAACAAATCCAAACATTTTATTTGCAAATGCATCTTAATTTCAGTCCAATAGTTTGTGAACATACAAGGATAAAGAAAAAAGATCAAAATGAATCCAATGTATCTAGAAAATTTTTGATGAAATGTGGCTGCCCTAACCCTGGCAGTGTTCAAGGCCAGGCTGGATGGGGCTTTGAGCAACCTGATCTAGTGGAAGGTGTCCCTGACCATGGCAACGGGGTTGGAACTGGACGATCTTTAGGTTCCTTCCAATCCAAAAAATTCTTTGAAACATAGATGCAGATTTGTCTTAAAAGAAAAAAGACGCTGGCTGCTTTATCTGATTTGAAGAAAAATTGAGAACTGAAAACACCTCTAGAAAATACTTAATTCAGCCCCCTCTGAAAGAAAAAAGGATTTGACCTCATAACTAATTTTGCTTTTTCCTGGATAGCTATTGTGAAGACACAAACTAAAATTAGGAAAACAAGATAAGCTGGTTTTACACTGTTTTTCCAAAGAAACAGTTATTTAATTTGTCTATGCAAACTGAGAAAATTACCTGGTCCAATAAACCTAAAAAAAAAAAATAAAATACTTTTCCCTCTCTTTTTGTTTGTTTGCTTGTTTCTGGTTTGGGTTGGAGGTTTTTTGGTGGTTGTTGTTGTTTTATTGGGGTTTGTGGGGAGGGTTTTTGTTTGTTTAAGTTTGGTGGGGTTTTTTTTTCATTTACTGGTTCCCTGAATAAAGATTGTCTCTGTTCCTTCAAAGCTTACAAAAGGATACAAGCCTAAACTGGTCATTACCACAATATGAAGCAGAACCATGAGTGGTATTAATGCTATACCTGATGTTGAAGGTTTCAAAAGACAACAGATGTCTGTAAATGGGTCTACAATCCTTTCCTTGAAGTCTTATTCTATTGTTTCTCCCTATACTTGACCAGCATACATAGACACATAAAAAGCAAAGAAAGAGCAACTAGGCCTCCTATGAAACATTGCATTTTAGTTGTCCTACTACCAAGGGGCCAAAATAGCTAAAAACCTAGCAAAAAAATATACAAGAAATAATTTCGTAAGGTGGCAAGTTCTCTAGCACATCAAGTTTGGCATTCCATGGAAAAATCATTCTTTGTGGAATGAATATATAAGGTGGTTTGAGGATTTTTTTTCAACAGTATACATTACTGTGACAGAAGACACTTGATATTGGGGTGAAAAAAAAACCCCAAGACAGGACAGTTCATCTCCTTTAACATCTTTTAAAGATCTGTACATAGTTCACACAGCATTTATTAAAAAAAAAAGGCCAAAATCTTTTATTTCATGCCATATTGTAAATCTTATTTAAAAAAAATCTATTTTTAAAATCCTTTAATAGTTGCTTTTTCAAAGCACATGATTTCTGAGACAAAACAGTTTCCACATACACCATTCAGTGGTGACAAAAACCTTAAACTTCATACTCCAATCTTCAAGTTAAGCTTGCTGTTTTAAATACTATACTAAATAACAAACACCTTTCAAGACACTTCAGAACAAAGCCCTCCAAGTGTCATGCTTGATGGCACTACATAAGCTCTGTGGCTTCATGCACCCAGGCATTCTCTGATGCATAAGGTAAACTCGGATACACTTTTTCCACATCTGGGGCTTCACAATGCAGCAGAACATACGTCACCCATGCTAGTGAATGCTGTGGGATGAAATCACACTGCAAAGTGCACCAACAAACTGGCAGTCCCTTAAGACATGGAAGAACATGAAAGTTTGAGGGCCTTTACAGAAAACTTCCATGAACGGAGGAAGAGGAGAATAGTTTGAAGAAGAGAAACATGGACCCAACAGAGGTGAACGGGACAAAAACCTGATCCTGAAGAGCACTGGTTAGCTGCTGCAAACTAACTGCAAAATACCGCTAATTAGTTTCTGCTGCAAAGTGATTCTGCTGCCCATCAGAAGGGAACACCAGCTTAAAACTTGAGGCTGGTGGGACATCTGGGTGGAGGGCCCTGGTGTGGAGGGTGGGCATGGAATGGCAGAAGGAAAACACAGATGCTAGCAGAGCTGGGGAGCCAGTCCCATGGGAGGCTCTTGTGAAGTCAAGCAAAATGACTCAGATAATAAAAAAGGAAACAGTCAACAACATACATGACCATTTTGCACATATCACGCCCAAAGGAAAAACAGACTGCAACTGCTCAGGGATATCCTGTGTGAGCAGAAGCCTAGAAGTGCCACTTATTTCATAACCATTCTGCTGATGGGGTGTGGAGAGGGAACTGCGGGAAGGGGGAGGGTGAAAAGAGACAGGTTCAAAGATTGCCAATTTCATTTTTCTTCCTTTTTTTTTTTAATCTTCTTTCTCCAGAAAAAATTATAATGGTAACACTTGAAAAGATGGGAAGGGCACTAAAGGCAAAGGAAGTGGTAATGACCACAACACCCATTCAAGCACGTATAAAGAAACCTAGTGAAAAGACAGAAAGTAGCCAAGAAAGGAAAACAAGCATAATCCTCTGGGAAGAAAACTAAAGCACTCAATGAGCCTAGGAAGAAATGAGAAAGAAAAGTTAGTATGATAAGCTGTGAGGCGGACCTGACATGATACAGAGCAATTTGTCAGCAAGAAGCACCCATTCCTGTATACAGCAAAAAAGACAGACAGAAGCAGGCGAAAAGGCTGCTCTTCACTGCTCCCACTGAAAGGAACTGGCTGGAGTGTGCTACTGTGACTACTTAATTCACACAGATCTTCAAGTGGTGACTGCTCGCGTACCTTTGACTTTGACCTGATATCTGGTACACTCGGGGCAGGGAAGAAGGGTGAATTCCTCTGTCTGATACATTGAATAGTCTGTGCTTGCAACCACAATCCGCTCTCCAGGACCCCAACCACTAACATCATCCAGAAGATTCAAAATCACTCCACCTACAGCTTCCACCTGGAAGCCTGAAATTGGGACACCTAAGTAAAAAAAAAAACAAAAACAAAACAAACAAACAAACAAAAAAACGAATAAGGCAAACACAATATAAGACTATATTCACCTTTATATGAAACCATTGCCAAGAAGGTACTAACAGAATATGCATGAGATTTCACCAGCTCCAAAGCCCTCTAAAGTACAGTTCTGCTCTGAAACATGCCCATGTGAGATACCATTACAGACTGTTTATTTGGCTGACCTTAAATAAAACAAAAGGAAAAGACGAAACTAACTATGAATTTAAAAAGAAAACAAAATAATGAATATCATATGGCAACAATCTGCAGGTCCAGCTACCAATTTGGTATGCAAAAAGTTGCCTGAATTTCAGCATCAAACAGCAACAGAATAAAACACTTTACCTAGCTTCTACCAAGTTTTCTTTTAAGGATCATAACATATCAGAACCTTAGAGTTAAAATACATGACTGACAAATTGCTAAAAGAAAAATACCAAACTCTTTCAGCATTCTGTAAGATTCTTTATCTAAATATATTTTAAATGAAGATTCAATGTTATGCTGTTCACATCCTGTATACAAATAGATTGAGAAATAGGTTGTACTGAAAAAGAACTGTGTTCTTACACTTCATTCATAGTAAGGAAAACCAAAAATACATCTTACAGCAGGACTCAGAATATTAAACTGTAAGCAAAAGCCCTAGCAATAAAGTATATACAGTACTTTTTACTTCTTCCCCAACTGCAGGATTTCACAAGACACTTTCCTACCATCGTTCCATTCACTGTAAGCTCTCACAACAAACTTCTGACCATCCACTGTGAAAAATTCTTTCTGAGCAAGAGCTTTCCCACCGGTGCTGTGATTTTCATAGTTTCTCACTGATTCATTACAGGAAGAATTTCCACCACCTATGACACCAACAAAAGCCCAGGCTTGCCTGTGAAAAACAAAAATAAATATTCAAATACAATGGTCTTCACAAATTCTTCACAAACAGGTAAAGGACAAAAGAAGGAGCACAGAAGTCATAAATAATTCTTAGTCTGCTCTTCCAAATTAATTTTTAAATGTAACTTCAAAATGCAGAAGAAAAATGGGCAGGCCTCATTGAAAAGAAATGTAACTGGATATCCTACATACAGATTGTCAAATACAAGAGCTCTTGATGCAGAAGACTTTAAGGTAGGTTTTTAGCACAACATTCAACAAGATTCACTTTTTCCAAAAGCAAATTGCAAGAGATGAGGACAGAAGTGATACAGGATCCTACTCCCACACAGCTTTACTGGGGCACAGAAGGACTAGGAGCTAATGCCAATGTTCCTGCTACATCCTGCAGCCTTGACGGCATGGTGGCCAGGGTCCCAGGAGACATACCATGTGGGCATTGGGTCTGGAGAGATGAACACCACCATCAGCAGCTGCCAGCAATCACTGTACTGGACAGGCAACACCTTTTCAACCTTTCAAGATGCTCAGACCCAGGAAACAAACCGCATACTGTTAAACAACCTTTGCATGAGGGATCATCCTCGCGATGTTTCTGAAGGCTGAGACCAAGGGGTTTTAGTTCCCCCACCTTGCTGGCACCAGCAGGGATGCTCTGCTCAATGCATCAAAGTTTTTGTAAAAGAAAAAATCCAAAATAACCACATGCCACTAAGTTCAGAAAACAAGACTATTTTGCTTTCCTTTACTGCTCTGTAATGCCATAATTGTGTAGAGGAAACAGTTGAGGTCATCTATTAAAAAGCTGAAAAATTTTGCATCATTTAAGTTGAATCACCCCATTTGAAAACAGTGTCTGCTAGCTGGACTGTAGTTTGTTGCTAATGATTGATTCAGAGGCAGATACTAAAACCACCTTCAATTCAGCTGCCTTTATTTCAGTCCCCTCATGATGTTCTGACGATTCGGATTTAAAAGGCCAAATGAAACTGTTTAGAGTTAACCTGTTCATAGGAACAGTACATACTGGGACAGCTTTTCAGCAGCAGCAGCAAACAAGCTGAACATTTCACATACCAGCATTTAAAATAAGCATCAAGATACTTAAATGCATGCAGGAAGAGGCAGAAGATGAGAAGGATGAGAGAGTATTCACCTCCATGCCAAAATCCTCCTTCACTAGCTTTACAGGTTTAACAAAATGACCCTGCTTTTCCTCAGTAAGCACTTAAGAGAGCTTCTCCCTCATCTTCTGTGGCAGAACAAGACAATTTTATGTGCTTAAAGAGCTTCTACCAACTAATGCAAAGATACAACAATCAGTTCAGCAGAGAAGGAAGAAAGGTTGCTTCTTCCCAGCTGCAGGCTGCAGAAGTTCCTCATATCAGACAAGCTGGCATGGAGGTCATGAGCAGAGATGAACACCTGAAATCCACACCTCCAGGTCAGGTCATGGTGGCTGAACAACCACCACACAGGCTTCATTGCTTTCAGAAGCTGGTACTTACCACAGGTCTCAGCACCTCTGCCCAAACTGCTTCAGAGGCAGTGCTGCAAGCACTTTCCATCCCATGACCACATACCTACATCAACCACTGAAAGAAACATGCTCCTGATGAGAAGAGAGGTCAGAGCATGTCATCCTGACTGACGCCACAGTCCGCCTCTGCCAAAGCAGAGGGAGGAAACTGACTGGAACCCAGATGCTGAAGGACAGTGAGGAATAAGAACAGAACAGAAAAACTAAACAACTGATTTCCTGGAAATAGTGGAAAATAGAAACAGGTTATCCAACACCATCTTAACGAAAGCTGAAGAATGAACCAACACCTAGTTTGGAGAGTTGATGTCCCTTTCATTTGTATTCCAGCCCTGTGCAACACAAAGCCAAGCTCAGAACATGCACCGCAAAACGTCAGTTCCAACAACTGGATGAATGGCATGGCAGTTAAGTTTCCTGATTTAATAATTCCTATTACACTTCTTCTACTGTCCCACCATCCAAAACCTAACCAACTGAAGAGAAGGGTCAAAAGATGCAGAAACACCTTACAAGTGTAATTCAGTAGCAAAGTATTTTTACAGATCAGTTCCCCTGCAGAATCAGTGGAGGGGTTACACACTTTCATTTCAACAGCACATAAGTATAAATAAGATGCCATTTGATACACAGGATTAGCATCTCTCCCCTGTATTCAGTTGGCCTTTCATTTGCTGCTCCTCCAGACATAGTCATATGCATTAAAAGCTTCACCTAGCAACTGTTTTCTGTGTGTCTGAATGAGAAAAAATTCCTTGTTGCACGTTTGAATTTCTGCTAAGAACAGTGAACAAGACCAACTACAAGCAAGTAATAAAATCTATCAGACACACACCTAAAAATATCAGTCTCTCTGCTATCAAACTACCGCACACTGAATACTACTCTCTACTGCTGCAGTACTACGTACAACACTGAGAATCCTGCAGAGACTTTAAGAACAGACATCACTGAAGTTTAATGAATGCCTGAAAGGTGGCAGAATCAATATCAGATCTAATCTTCACTTAAAAACGGAAATAAACTACTTACCTGTAACTCAATCCTCTGACAAACTTACTTCCCAGAAGATTTTGAATAGTCACTCTGGTTTCCTCCAGTAGATTTTTAGCAGCTGAATCTCCTACAGCAATAGCAACAATGCGACCAGGACTTCCATTTTTCAGCAAGTTCTGGAGCTTCAAGCTGTCTTCTGAAAACTCATGAGTGTCAAACTTCAGCACTTCCAAAACCTCTGCTGTGTCCTGATCAATCACTCTCACATTTAGTCCTCGGGAAAAATTCTTTTTAAATGAATAATGACCATAGGCCAGCCCTGAGAAATACATAGTCTTTGATAGAAGAGTCCATGATAACTTCTGGTGCCCGTGTAACTCCAGTGTTCCTTCAGGGCCCACACCAATAAATTTTTGGCCAAATTCTGGCACATCAGCACCTTCGTTTGACTTCCCATACAAAATAATAGTTGCTTTGGATTTATAGCGGCATTTCTCTGCTCCAACATGAAGCATTCCACCATCCTTTATCAGGATAAATCGAGTTCTCAAGGTAATATTTTTAGAACCTTCTTTATCATCACCAAATACAAGTAACCCTAAAGGAGAAAAAAAAAATAAAAATTCTGTAGGTCAAACCAAAATTGCAACAGACTTAGAGAACCAGGTTCTGCAATAAGGAGAACAGAAAAACTACAGGTTTTTTTCCCACATTCATGAATTAAGCTGTTATACTCTTATACATGTTTAAGAATATCTGGGGAAGTAACTCCTACCTATTGTGATTATCTAAGAATTTGGCTGGTTTATTCCTATTTTTTTCTGACATTTTCGTAGAATTACTAACATACAATGACCATTAGAAGACAATCAGATCTACAAGAAAGGCTACTACACAAGTCTTGTTTTACTATGTCCTACAGAAAAGCATGTCAATGCTCCATTGAAAATACTCTACAGTGCTCATTCATCTTTCTAATGGTATTCCTGCTCTGGTAGCAGGCTAGAAAGCAAAAGCAGGGAACTGCTCAGTAAGCTGCAACATAAAATTCCAACACATTTTTCATGTAATCACAGAAGTAAAAACTATGCAGTAAACTGAAGCATGATGTTGGTCTAGCCATTTCATACCTCCATCCTGTATAACTATGGAGTGTACTGTAGCGTCTGAGTTCAGACGAAACAAATCCCCTTTTTTGATAAAAACTCTCTTTTCAGGATCTTTTCCAGGGCTCCAGTTTTTAAGACGAGGATTTTGATCAGGACAGTTCTCTGCAATACAATGTGAAATTCAGCTTTTAAAAACCATGCATCACCATATCAATCAAGGCAGCATTACGATAAACACAAGCAAGGCAGAGTCAGTCACCCACAAAGGATTACAGCTCCTCTTGTGGTTACAATACTGCAGCCACTGCTACTGTTTGTATCTGAGCAGCCAAAAAGATACCTAAAAGGTGGCTACACTCTCAAGGGTGGAAGGTGTTCTTACATTGAATTAAACTACTGGTAACCACAGACTGAACTGTCAATGTATACTGTTGACAATAAATACTTTCAAACCCCATCTGATTATTTCAAGATTTTCTATATCACCTATAATAAAGGATGATGAGAGGTAAGTGGGAAGAACTCAGATCCACAGAAGTCACACTGAGCACTAGGTCTTCTAGACCAGCTACCTAGGCCAACTAACATGGATGCGAAACATCTAAATGTATCACCTACCTCAAGACCTCTGCCTATGTGAGAAAGGCTGATCCTTTCTTGCTTTTACGTATCCAAATCACTTCTTTCAACATAGGTTTGCAGGTAAGGGATAAAGAGGGACAAGACATCCTTAGTAAATTTAGTATAACACCTTACTCGTTAGAGCAGTTTCCTGGGAGACCAGACATTTGGGTCTAAACTCATAGTTTGTACTCAGGACGGCAGCTTAAGTATCAGGATACAAACCACACGAGAGCAGTGACACTTGCAGTCCTTGCTGGAACCCTGCTGAAGGTCTGGCACTAGTCAGGCAATAACATCATACTATGAGGCCAGAAAAGGAGAAGCAGCAGCAAGAAGTGACAGTGTTGCGTGATTTCAGATGAAGTTACAGTAATATAATATTCAGAACAGGCACATCTTTAGCGTATTAAGCAGCTGAGTAATGCAGCAGCATAGGCATACTACAAAAGCAGAAACAGGAAGCATATTCCTTGGATTTTCTTAACTGAAAGTCAGACTGAAAATATTTTTCTTAAGAAAAAAACAAACAAAAAGATGCCAAAACAAACAGGTTAGCAGCCAGACTGAGAGTAACAGTCAAAATAGCCTTTTCACATCTTATCTTTTGGAGAAAGACACCCACTCATGTGCTATGCAACTTTGGGGGCAAAAACCTATTAGCAATAGCCCATTCTTGCACAATCCAAAGAAAGCGAAACCTATCCACAAGTTTAACACAAGCCAGCTTTAGTTTTGCTGACAGAAATGTTTTTCCTTTGGCGTTACTCTCCACATTTCAAACCTTTTCCAACTCAGGAAACCCACATAAACCAAGATTTGACTACCAGTGGGAAAAATATAGCAGAACTGCATAAGGTCAAAAGACATCCAAGTAGCAATATAAAAATAAAACCAAAGGCAAATCTTTTGGGGGGATCCCAAGAAGACAGCATTTGGAAAATTAAATTCAACACACAAGGGAAAGCCAAGAAGCACTGCAATCAGCAAGACTGCTGAGCACTCACTGGAAAAATTCAAGTCTCTTGCCTGACTCATGCAGCCCCTTCCCCCAGACACCACACACGCGCACTGTGAAGAAAGTCATATTTCCTGGCTGGCAGCAAAGGGCAATGTGAGGAAACCATGAGTCAGCAACCTGATGATTTCTGCTTAGTGTGATTCACGGGAAAGAAGATCTAGTAACTGTAAATTTTCCTGCTGAGTCAGAAAGAAGAGGTATAGCACAATAGCTAAGAAAACTGTACCTAGTGTACATAACAATCCAGCAAGGAAGCCATCAGCATCAGAGGTAGGCACTCCGGTAATGCAAGCATGCTTCTGAAGCACGGTGGATCAGCTTTTTAGCAAGCAGATCAGATGTGCTCAGCAAATGTATTCTGTAATTCTCCATTAGCAGTTGCCGTGTGGTGCAGGGAAACATCAAGGATCTAGTACTTCACTGTATGTTACCTCTGAAATTACTGATTAGATTTTACAGACCACAGTCATTGCCCCTACAATTACAGTTAAATGAAAACAGAAGCACAGACAAGAAAATGTTAGGTAGTTATGGCCTTGCCAACATAACCACTCCTCCTGAAAATTTTGGAAGTCAAGCCCTTGCTTCAGAGAATTTTTGTATAACTGGGTAAGCTCTCCTTAATAAGAGACAGCTTCTAGTAAGACTTGTGGGGTGGGCAGAGAAGGCAGTGAGATTTTTACTAATGGTGGAAGGAAAAAAAGAAACAAACCCAAACCAAACAAACAAAAAAACCCACACCCTGAAAAATAATTTTAAAGTAATTCTAGAACCTTCCACATGCTGCAGCAAGGATATAAAATCTGACAAAAGAAAAGGGAAGAAACAGTTCTCAAGATGTAGTTAAACAGTTGTTTTCTACCTGCTTAGCCACCAAGTCTGGAGATTTTAAGGCCTCTGGGAAAAAGTTATCAGTGTTCCATTATGCTCAGCAGAAGTTTATCACAGTTTGGCAGCTAAATCTTCTGAGGATCCTGTTTACCCTGGTCAAGATCCAGCTGAGAGCTGCAAAGGCCAGGCAGAACTTTTTCCCCAAAACTTCCTCAGCTTGTCATCCTGACCCTGAAGTACAAGCCCCTGGAAATGGGGAAGGAAATTGCATTTCCAGTGCTCTCCCTGGATCTCTAGCGTTCAGGACTCCTTATTAAAAAAGATGCTGACAGGAAGATAAAAGCAAGGAGGAAAAAGCCCGGCTGACAGGCAGGAACAGAAATGCCGACAAGTATCATTTTCCCTTTGGGGAAGGTATGCCGGAGGTTTAGGATTTAAACGCAGTTACTACCAAGTCTCACATTCCCTCCACTGTCTTTTAAAACAGCTATTAAGAGTACTGACAATATATGGATTTCCAATTAGCCCTTAAGAACACACCTGGCTGGAACTGGTGGCATTGGATGCAGTACTGCATGTGCCAAGTTGGAGCTGAGCATACTGACATTTCAATCTGTTGGGAAACTCTTGGGGGAGTTGCTGCAACAATACTGCAAGATGAAAATTTCAGCCAGAGTTTCCTCAGTGCCTGTAAGAGTTTCTCTTGTGTCAGTGTTTCCAAAGGATTCTATAGGTGCATGTTGGGGATTTTTTAAAGGAGAACACCAGGAAATTTTAGAAAGACAATGGCAAAATTAATGCTGAAAACTGGCCTGAACTCTCATCAAGAAGCAGTGGGAGACAGAAGAAAAGCAGCTAGTTAAGTGCTAAATCCTTAGCCCTTATGCAAGTCCTTACCATAGACAAAAAAAAAAAAAAACATCCATTGTATGACAGCAACTTTTCCTGCAACATCCTCAGTATTCCTGCTCTCACCCCCCTTTCTGCTGTGATCCATCAACCACGTGCTGCACTCAGTGCAAAAAAAGCCACACAATTCAATGCCTCTGGAATGAGCTACTGCAGATGAAGCAAAACCATTCCCAAAACCACTTACACTAAAAAGCAAAAAGGCAAGCCAGCTCTTTCACATCTTTTTCACATCTTCACAGCTTTTAAAGCATAAAGGGACCATTATTTTATGTATCCCACAGCACAGGATAACACTCCATTACTTCCAAAACCCATCATTAAAATCTACAAATTTAGTTAATTAAAAGTTAAAGTCTTGGTAGCAAAACAGAAAGGTTTCCCCCAAAAAAGTACTTCCCAGAGTCAACTGGCTAAGACACCCTTCAGTTTCCTCTGGAACTTGGCTGTTAACTGAAGTACTTACTGTAGTAAGTGTCCCTGTTACCATGATCTGAAACAGAACATAGCAGTAACTTTCCATTTACTTCCCCCCTCACACATTTTTTTGTTTTCCTTCATAATTATTAGAACTCAGTAACTTCACCCAAGAACAGATCTCCACAACCCATCCCCAAGAGTGCTGTGGTGGGATGTGTGCATTCATTTTATACTGTCATCTGAGATCTTCAATTGATTATCTGATTTGTTCAGGCTGTGTTGCATTGACTTTGGAAACAGAATCTTTTGATTTACTATGCCAAAAGCCACTGAGGAGTCTTAAGTATATTCTGTTGCAATAGCCAACAGTTTCAATTCAAAGCTCTGTTTAGTTTTTAGAAACCCAACTTCTGCCTTAAAAAAAAACCAAACCACATCAACACAAAACTGCAACATGGTCCAAACTATACCATTAGCTACTGCACCTCACAGCAACTCCTAGCACTATTTGTCCAGATGGATGTACACTTACTGATCAGTGGTTAATCGTATCACCTGCTCATGCTTTATAACCACTGAAACATTTGGTAGGTTTTCCAAATTCCATGAAAATTGTCCAGTTTTCTAAGATAAGCTGAAAAAAAAATCAGGGCTAGTAGATCAAAAATTTGTGTATAAACAAAGCAAATACACACTGTTTGTATAAGTGTCAGAGATTTTTAAATGTTTTTACTTGAACACTCTTTTACTGCCTTCCATAGTTACTCCTTCAACAGACAGGATTTCATTTTGCCTGCAATTTGTGAACAGATCAGACAAATTCTTCTGCAGACAAAAACAATTACACCGATACAACATTTATGCTTCTTTCCCCTCACCAGTAGTCTCTGTTTACTGCTATGCTCTTCTCAGCCCTAAAACACCGCTTCCCTTCCTGTTAAACTGTAGCAAGAATCCTATTTTTGCAGTTCTAACACTCATCTTGATGTTTTATTATTCTAACTTCTAGGGTGATTTTGTTCAGAAAAGAACTTACCGTCTGGAGCATATTTTGAAGCTATTCCCAAAAAAATCCCCAGTGCAACAAAAAGTGAAAGGCTAGAAACGGCAAAGCAAATGAGAGTATTTTTATGCCTGTTGGCTTCTGCCTGGCGGCGGTGCTGATTGACTGGTAAGGGTGGGAGTCTTGCCCGGGCTTCTTGTCTTGCAGAGGTAAATTCAGCTGCAGCATGGCTCTGTGAGGGCGGTGGGGGACGGAGAGGAGCAATTCTCCCTGGGACGTACCCTGAAGACCTGTGACTGCTCCCGTTCTGAGGCCGGAGGAAAGCAGGGGAGCTCCCCCTGATATCAGTGTCTTGCATGTTACAAAGTCACTGGAACACACACATACAGGGGAAAAAATAAGAGACAGGTTTTCAGAATACAGAGCACAATATATACAGGAAAAAGAAACAAAACAAAAAAGACACTTTAAGCCACATGCCATCCTAAGAAGAACAGCCACTGAAACTGTGGCTAGTTACACAGTATCACTCATTTGCTAATGATCATTTGCCATGGTGTAACAGCTTGAAACAACAGTCTATCTATTTTCAACAAAATTAAACATAAAATCACCTGGTATGGGAACACAGTACACAGCACAGACCAATTCTTCATAGTTCCACTATGTATTTTTCACAGTGTTTCCACAATTAACTTGTATTATGCGACTAATAAACAAGGCGAACAACGAGAAAGCTAGCAACCCCTTGCTCCCCAGAGTTATGCAAAGAATGCCTAGATGTATTTTTTCTGCATGCAGAAGCTGAACAAACTCCTCATTGTTTTACTTTGTGGAAAAAAAACTGAAAGAGACAAGTCCTCCTTCCACACTGGAAGCAGTAAAAAAGCATTTATATTTAATACATAAAATATCAAACACAATTTTATTTATACTCACACTGATGACCCTTTGTCAACACTTCTGAGTAGCTGAGGCATACAGAGCCTGCAAACTCTTCATTAACTCACAGTGAGATCTGATTGCTAGTAAAGGTGCATCAGGAACGGTCCTGTAAAAGTCATCTGCATCTTGTTCAATAAACCTTGTGGTTTTTCTCGTTGCAGAGATGCCTGGATCTGGACACAAAGGCTGGAAGCAACATGACCACTCTAGATCTCTGTACCTATCACCAAGAAGTGTGTGCAACTTTTATTTACTGGTATTGTTATGCTTTCCTTACTGGTTGCTTCAGAAAAAGACAAACAAAAACATCACTGCCCAGGCAGTCCTTGCCAGCACTTCCAACCCACCACTTTTCTGGTTTAAGAGATGCAAAATTGGATCTATTTTTTGTCTTTCTGGTCAATTGCGGTGTATTGTATGGAGTATTCACAAAGCTGGCATGGGATTTTTAGCTTTGGGTGAGCTGTTTTTTTTTTGTTTGGGGTTTGTTTGTTTGTTTTTTTTTTAACATTTTTAAGACATGGAATTTTTTTGAGAAGTCTGCTCAAGTTTCACCTAACTGAAACTCAACTTTCTAAACTAAATCCTGAATGGGATTTAGGCATTGGTCATGTGTATTAAATAGCAAAATGAATTAGGAAAATAAAACCTACCAGTAACAGAAAAAAATAAAGATCCCCTTTCTCTTCCATTAACAAAGGGAAGTCTGAGCTATACACTGAAGTGCCAGGCACGATGGTGAAAGAGAAACGTGACAACTGTAATCTTATTCTGAGAAGTAGCAAAGAAGCCTTTTGTCTCACATGCTGCAAAATTTGATAGTTCACTGTTTCAAGGCAAGAGTGGTTATTATAGAACAAGCCTGGATTACCCTTTTATGGCAGACAATGCACCTCCAGATGTATGCACCATGACAATAAAGGCACAGAAACATTAACTGGAGTAAGCCACCCCAGTGTGCAAAAATCATGCCAAGTCTTCCAGCAACGTTTCTTGCACCTGTTGTAGCAAATTGATTTTCACCATTCTCCTTTCTGTTAGTTGAGAAACTATTCCCCAAACCTAATCTTCTGCTCTCAAACTTAACTGCCCAATGCATTATGAGCACTGTGGAACAGCTTGCTTTCAACACATGTAAAAGCTTTTACACTCAACCAGTCATCTTCCAGCAGTGAAAACTCAATAATTTCTATGTTTTAAAAGTGGTGTTAAAAGCCGAAGAGAGAATGAGCTTTTTGACTACTCCAAAAGACAGTTATTTATGTCAAACTGAAACAAATAGTTAAATATCTTTCTGATTCAAAATTTAAAGAACTCTGATCCAGCACTGAGATTATTTTTTCATGGTTTGCATCTTCAACTCCTTAAACTTGTTTAGAAAGTTTTCAGTTATGGCCTTTATCACACTGACAAAATAACTACAGTGTTCCTCATAACGTGCTACAAAGAGTTAACGTGTTTTTTAATTGCTTGGCTATATCAAATAAATCCAGAATGCAAAACTTGACTTTTATAAAATGGTTTTACAATTTTTCTTACTGAGGCCTCTTACAGTACTGCTAGTCCTTTAAAGAAAAAAACTGATTCATTACAAGACATCGAAAACACTTGTGTCATATTTCAATAAACTTATGTTTCGTACAAAGCATTCCGCCTTCTTTGCAAGCCTCATTCTGCAAACTGCGAAAGTTTTCCAACAATCCCACTCAAGTGCAAACACAGGTCAACCCAAGGACGGGTGGAGAAGAGTCTGCAAAACTAGTGTCTTACCCACCACAAAATAAAAACAATGAAACAAAGCCAGAAGGAGATACTTAGCACAATTAAAAGATTTGCTACAAAATTTTCAATTACAACAGGAGTAACCATTTCAACACTTCCTTCCCTCTTCCTGTGTTATCTGAAATTCTCAAGCCAAAAGAAGGATCTTTCTAACCCGTAAAGCAGCTACTGGCTTTTCTTTAAAGTTAAGACTTGTTGATAATCTGATTCAAACTACCGACTTCTTTTACTTTTTTTATTTCCAACTCTGTGGAACTCTTCAGATACTACCCCACAAATATAAGTGTAGCAATAGGCTATATGGCCTGTTATGTCCAGGAGAGTACAGTTATTTGGTTACACAAATATAGTTAGAGAAAAATGGAGGAGACAAACAAATCAAAACCATTTAAACCATACAAATACCACATTTCTTTGCAAGTTCCCATGCACCTGAATTTGTCCGTATGTTCCCATGCACCTGAATTTGTCCATATAACACTTTTTCTTGCTGCATCCAATGGAAACACAAGGAAATGGAAACGTTGACATCAAAGACCCCAGGAGACCACTTGCAATTCAAAACACCAGAGAGGACTGCTCTTGCCCCCAGGATCTCCTAAACCCACAGAAGAAGGAGGTCTCCTAGAGGAGCATATAATCTGAGCATCTCCTCCTGATGGTGCAGTCCTACACAAGAACACCACCACTTCTACAAACATACTGTAAGTATGCAGAGGAATTGCAGTATTTTACTTTGCAGCTTGCTTCTGAGTGATTTCAGTAAAAGTCAAGTTCTTGCACAATACACAACTCATGAGAAGCCCACAGGAGAAGGGAAAGAGACAAGAAGTCAGTATTAAAAAGCTCCTAAGTAGCCACAACTACTAAATAGAACGTGGTATAAAGCAAATTTCTAAACTATGACATGTACACCTTTACAAGCCTCCAAGCTGGTGAACTACAATGGAGGCACTAATTTCAGGACAGCGTTTCAAGTGCTTCAGAAGCCCTCAGTTCAAAATAGTTATACAGACACTAATCCGTATAAACCTGCTACTTACCATGCCATTCAGACAGCCTTCTATCTCAGTATTCCCAAACATCTTGCCCTTCAGCCTCCAACAGGGTATTGTGCAGTAATTACAAATCCATTATTCACCACAGCTTTTAGTCAGGAGCACATGTAAGTATGTGCTTCTAGTTTACCACTACCAGGGAAGCTCAGAGCACACAGATTTGGCTAGAGCATTTCAGATGCTTCAGCCCAGTATGTACTTGTTACCACCTGTCTGCTGGACAGCTACACTATTTGCAGGTCCCTCTTTTGCAAGATAGCACTACTCCACACAATGCAGTTGTCTGCTTATGCACCCCTTCCCACAATATAAGCAAGCATGCAGTTCTCATACTGATCACATGAACCAATCCAGTTTAAACCACCTTAAAAAAAAAAAAAAAAATTATTTGCACATCATCTAAGTAAAAACAGAGATTACCTTCCAATCCAGCTCTGACAACAGAGCATCTGATCTGTGTGGACAGCAAACCCTAGCAGGCAGACAGCACCAAGCCACTGAACAGGCTGCAACATCTCCAGTCTCCTCATGTATTCCTTCACCGCTTTTAACTTGTGCCACTACTACACACTCATACAAGCCTCAAACTTACTTTAAGGATGCATAGTCCACAAGTCTTAAAAATAAAAGGAAAAACAGACAAAAAAACAAAAACCAAAACCAAAAGACCAACACTTATGTTGCTTTGGGCTTTCAAACACTACCAGTTGTAGTGATGACCTATTACCATACTGCTTAATCTCAGAGAATATAATCACCATTAAGGAAAAGGCTGAGAAAGGGTGGGGGAAAACCACACACATCAAGAAAACTATTTCCCCATGCAATACAGTGCCATAATGGTTACTGCTGGTTTCCTGGCACAGCCACTTGTCTGGTATGAGATCAAAGAGCCGTGAAAAGCCCAAGAAAAGGGAAAGGGACAAGAAGTCAGGATCAAATAGCTCCTAAGTAGCTACAAGTACTGAACAGAAAGTGATGTCAAGCAAACTCTTGAAGTATGACACGTACACCTTTACAAGCCTCCAAGCTGGTCAACTACAACGAAGATACTAATTTCAGGACAATGTTTCAAGTACCTCAGAAGCTCTCAGTTCAAAAAATCTTAATCTCATCGTGAAGAAAATTCATGGCTCCCAGCAGACGCCTGGAGTGCCCAGATGCTTTGCTATCCGATTCCACATTTTCTTTCATTGCCCTATCTTGAAATTACACCTATTCACTATGATAACAGACAGCATGTTTTCAGCTATCTACTCTTCCATCTGTGTGAGCAAAAGCTGGAAAGAATCTGTGCACAGTAAAACACACTAACACAGTTAAGTAACTGTTGGAAATCACAACAATGCTTGTAACAGCCTGAAAAATCCCAGCTGACTAAAAAAGTTTTAAAAACTCTAGATGTCTTCCACCATGTTAGTTGTTTGCTGCATGCCACCACTGAGTTTCCTCCCTTGCCCAACAGTTTCCGGAGAAAATCAGAGGACAAAGTGCAACAGCCAGTGAGAAATATACATACAAACATGGTAAGAATTACAGAACTTTGTTTAAAATAAGATTTTGTACCAGATTTTCTGAGTTTCCTGTGCAGCAACTATTAATTTTCACAGATTTTTTTGGCACAGAGAAAACACACAAAATTACATGATACACAACCACTGGAAACTACTTGAGTGACGACCTCATTTCCCGAAACAAGTCCTTCCAAAGTACCACAGATCAAGAGACACATGTGTAAGCATGCATAATATTTACAGTATAAGACAGGAGAAATCTTCATCAGCTGGTCTAATGAAATGTTTTGAGCACACAAGTCTCTCTCTGGGTCAAAACCAGACTTAAAACATATATACAAGTGGGAAAGTTTAATTACATATGTTTAGGTGATACACAAAACAGTTTAGTTATTACCTATGGATTGCATTGGGACAGGGGCTAGAGGATGGCAAGAAGATTGCTTCCCAAGAGAAGGAGACAGGTAATTAGTAGCCTGTGGAGTATGAGTTTATCTTTGGGAACAAGTATGAAATTACAGCACTTCCAAGTAAAAACACTCTCAGGTTCATGGTTTATAGCATACAGGAGAGCCATGAATTTAGTTCCTAGTCTCTTCTAAAGATGTTTGGTAGACCTCCATTAAGGATGAGGCTGAATGATCAGAGGCAAAGCGGGGATTTGTACAAGAGATATGGTTTCCCTCTCAAATGATAACCAGGTTTTTGTCCTTCACCTTTTGTTTGTGTGAATGAGCTCAGCAAAAGTCATTTGACTTCACTTACGTAACTGTCAGGAAAGCATTTGATGCAGCAGATGAAATGTCTAACTCCTCAGAAAGTTCATGTGAAGAAATCTAGTGATTTCCATGGCTCTTCTACAGAGATGTGTCTTAACTGCAGAAACTGCAGTGACATGTTGGTCTTTTCTAGTTTTTGTACACCAAACATTATCCTGCAAGCATTCAAGTGTTCGTAGGTGACCTCAAGACAGCTATTTTCAGCCTGCTCCAGTATGTTTGTAACATCTTCAGATCTCTCCCACTGAAACAAAGCAATGTAAGTTAAAAGCCACAGCCTCAAACTGTGGTCTGTGTATCTAAAATGATGCCTGACACTTCCAGTGACTTCAATTTTTCCCCTGTTTCTTTATAACACAGTTATTCTTAGTAAACTGCTTACAAATTGGGGAACTTTATCCTGTGTTTCACTAACTGTTAAAACAATAGCATGTTCCAATGAAGGAAATTATTTAGAAAACATTTGTTTCTTTGCATTACAAGTGAATTGACCAATGACTTAAATGCAGAGGATCCAAGAGAGTACATCAGGAAATATGGCACATGTCCTGATAGGCAACATGAATGTAATAACTTTTACTGTTTCTCTCACTTTCAGAAATGAAAGATTTAATAACTTGCATAAAACATAAAGAGTGGAAATTTGCATTTTAACCATGCATCTGCCATTAGCCTGCTGCGTGACTCACGGCTTATTTGGGCCCCAAGCCCATAACATGAGAAAAATAGCAGTCGCTGGCCTCACAGGGACATTGTGATGGTTAGTTTACAGAACACTTTGGTCTCTCTCAGCTCAGGGAGTGAGCAGAAGCCCACTTTTAAGCAAATAAATAGCTCTGCTTAAGTCGACAACTTCCACTGTTTAAAAGTAATGGATTTGCAGCATTCACCTCAGAGAACCTGAAGATTGGTAGGGAGAAAAAAAAAAGCTAAAAACAGGGAAAAAAAAGTTTTAAAACTACTTTTCATGTTGATGATAAGAAGTGGTATCACAGATATTTGCGGTCTCTGGAAGAACACAAATCGAATATAAACCTGCTGCAGCTTAGAACTTCATTGCAGAAATATTTTTATGCAATGGTAATACACTTCATAGAAGTGAAGTCCAGGTCTGACACTACCTTGAATCACTGGAAACAGAGCCTGCAATCCATTCAAGAGGAGGAAGGCGATATTAGAAGGCGATATTAGGTATCTATTTTCTCATTAAATTGGAAAAGCTCTCCTAAATAGATAATAAGCATATAGGACAGTACAGAATATAACAGGCAGGGGGGGAAAAGCATCAGTTCCCATAGTTAGCTTTGGCCAACAGACATAAGCATGACTACTCCTGAGGAACTAACTGTATTGATAAAACTACTTAATGATCAGTGTGTTGGCATGTTTAATTATATGTAAAACACAAATCACTAGCATAGCATGCTGTTTTCCATATCAGTATGTGAATTTCTACTTTTTACTGGTTCTTTGTACTTGTCCTTGTTTTCTTCTCAGGTAAAGCTCTCAAGTTCTTGCAATTTCTTTCAGTCCAACCCAAATTTCAATACATGATACACCACATCTTATTCTACTTACTTGAAGGATCGCC